CCGTGTAGAAGTGGACTCGACTAAGTGACTGCAAGTATTAACAATCCCTTAGCACCAGTTCGTCATTGTAAAAAGGAAATTTTATCGACTACAACTTTTATCATTTGATTTATCTTTTAGTTGCCATGTATATACAAACTCGCTAACAATTCGATAGTTTCCCCTGAAAACCTCATGGTTAATTTTGGATAAATATCTCACGATAAGCCAACTGACCTGCTTTATCCTCACCTGAAGGGAGATCCCTCACTAGTGCCCTCTAAATTAAACCTATAGCGTAATAACCATTTACTATTCCATATTCATCCATTAAAAATATATGTACAAACTTGACATAAGACGAGATTCCCGCCGACTCTCGTGTTGTAGTTTATCATAAAAAGGAAAATAAGTTAGAAATTTAAAATAAAAATCGTATCAGCCCTTTTGAATCCACGAACATTTGAAGTGTTTTTAGTTATAATAGTAAATAGGTCTCTACTTGGCTATTTGGATAGTAAGTAAGCTCTATCAATGTATATTCATACTGAAAGTAATAAAGTAAATAGAAATAAAATAGATCCAATGAATGGACAGATTATTATGAATGGAAATCACAAAAGGGAAAGCCAAATACGGCGGCACTCAACGAATTATTCAGATTTACAATGCCATAAGAAACACACGAAGTGACCGTAACGAATCCACTTTCCAGCTATTGTACTCTATGTATACGCAATAGTCATTTAATTTCCATAATTTACTGAACATCTAGATCATATTTTGTTGCTGTAACTTCTGCACACACAAACCCTATGGTTTCTATGATTTTCATGAACAACGTGTTTATGTATACGTATTGGTTTAGATATAAAATTTAATAACAAAACTTTATTACAAGCTTTACAAAAAACATCGAAATATTTACAAAATTAATATTAAATAAATAAATGTGTTCATGACTAAAATTCATGATTTAGTAAAATCTGAGATAATTAAGTAAGAAATTAAATACCCATTTAGAATGATTCACTAAGTTAATTATTTGAAAAATACTTCACACAGAATAGGTATAGACTATATTAAATTACTGCTTGCTAAAGATATAGATATAATATGCTATTATCACAAATTCAAAGTCGACGGAAACGTGTAGGTGTATACAATATATGACCTAATTAGTTGAAACGGGCCGTCGCAATTAATTGCTTGCTACAAATAGTGCTCTCACATTCTGCAACTAGGTCGAAATATTATGCCTAGATACGTTTGGATAAATGTAATTTACAAAACAAATAACATTCTATACATTATGGACGTAATAATTCAAATATTATGTTATTAATACTTGTATTAGAAAGTATTTAAAAAATTTGAAAATTTATGTTAAATTTCTAATTTCTGCTAAAAAAATTTTTCATTGAATGCCTAAGATCACACATAGGTATATAATTTCGCACCTATGTGCAAAATTTCATGTCTTTGATTTATACCAAACAGTTTTTGCTATACATTGTTAAATTATACACGAGATTGATGTTTAGATTTGTAATAAGCTTTTATATTTTCCACTGAGAGATATCATGAATGAACCTCTATTAAAATAAAAACAGAATCATAACAAAATTTGAAATTTTTGTTATCATTGTATTGCATTCATTATGTTCAATTTAAGATTGTATTTTCTTCCATATAATCATTCAAATCGACTCATCAGATTTAACATTTATATAAAAAAAAAACTCAATAAAGAATATGTACAAAATAAAGCAGCAATTACGAACAAGTCCCAAGAAGGACGTTAAATTGATAAATAACATAAAAGGCGTAAAGATGAATAAAAAACTTGACTATTTGAAATTCAAAATGTATAATGATATATGATGTGAGGATCTAAGCTAGAAGGTACGCTACGCTTCGCCGCCGGAGCAAGACAGGCCCTGGTGCGAGACGGTTACCTTGTTGCAGGGCTGTCGACATTTGAATTGGAAGGTCATTACCCATATTGATTGATCTTTAGATGCAAGACACGCTAAGTGTGCCTCTGATACTTTAAAGTGGGGAGTATAAAAGTCTGAAAGTGATATCAGCGAAGGTAACCGCTGATGAGGGTCTTTTTTTAAATAGGTAATATTGGATAGGAATGCTATATAATGGCGAGGCACCAAAGGAGAATGATAAACTGAGGCTGAAAATCTATTGGCTCATTGTGGTGAATTAACTAGAAATTAACCAAGATAGCATCCAGGAGAATCGCGTAGAGGTCGATCTGATAGGGGGGGTATATTGTTAGTAATCGGGATATAATATTAGTGCCTATTACTGACATTTTTTTTCCTCCCCAATGATAAAACTGATAGAGGCGCGTTACAAGCATAGCCCTAACCTAAACAAGAAGAAAGAACGCCTGTGAAGTTTCTCTGAGTAGAAATTCGGCATAACCTATTTGTTTCCCTAGGTCGATTATGACACGTTTGTGTGGTGATGGAAGTAAATATGGTAAGTATACTTGTTTACCATAGTTATTTTATAGCCCACACAAAATTTTATGGCCTGTTCAGTAGTCAATGGGTATCATTCGCCTGATACCGTTCGATTCGACATTGCTATAACTTCCTTTTAAATGTATCCTTCTATGTCTAGATGAGTCAATCTTATACCCCACTCTTACAACCTGCCATCCTCAAGTCTCTGTAATATCATTCTATTTTCTTTTCAGTGACCTCTTTTTCAGCCGACTTCAAAAAAGACGATGTTCTCAGTTCAAATTTTTTGTTTGTTACCACATAACTGTCATTTATTAACCGAGTTGGAAAATTCTTTTTTTTTTTATCTGAAAGGATATACTTTTACGTTAGTCTCATAGAAATTTTATATAATAAATAACTAGTTTTACCACGATTGTAGTCGTATTTTTATGGCATAAAATATTATTAATACTCAATATCGAACTATATGATATTAGGTCCTGTTTGCCAGCCCTATTTTGCCCATCAGTAGATACCGTACTCTTAAACTGCTAAACACAAGTTGAAGTAGTCCAACTGGAAAGGTTTTTTAGAGAAATTACAACCCAGTTACGGTACATACATTACATATAACATGCCTGTCCATATAGCCTTGAGCAATAAGGTTATTATTGTTGCACGTATGTACCTATATAAGAAAAATGAATGTAAGTAGATTATATTGTATTAAGTACTTAGAGAAATAAACAATGATGTCTCTGTTTATGTCTTATCTGTGTACGTACAAACCATTAGGTAGTAATTAGTTTGAAATAAACACTTTAAAATTGAGTATTTATGAAACTTCGTTGCGTCTGTATCATGGATACATTTCACGTAAATCCGGATTGATTTTTCGAAATTTTTCAAATAATATCAATTTAAAACACAAATAATATTTAGAAACAATCATATACTGTTGCTATCTCTATCATGAGTTGAGCTTGTTAAAAAAGAATTAGTCTAAAATTAAGTCGAATTAAAGCACTAACTACTAGGTCACTAATTAATGACCTACAAATGTATACATTTAATGTACAATATTATAGTGTGCAAAGACCTACCTAGTGTGTAAAAAGGTGGTAATGTAACTAATTACAATTATTAGCTAGAGATATAGAGCAATTTACAAAATTTACAGAATGTACTTGCTTGTCTATGATTTAGTTTAAAGGGAGAAGTATGTTAGTGTTTTCCCTAAGAAAAGAACTAAGATATGTGATGCAAGAAGTTGATATCCCTAAGGATAGCAACACATAAGAGAAGTACTAAGGGCGTCACTGTGTATTCGATAGTCCATGGTGCCATTCTTATCCAAAGACAACGATTGCCATATTAGCTTATTTGCTAATTAAATTGCACACAAAAACACAAACATTTTTCAAAAAGACTGTCTACTTCTCCTAGGGAATTCAGGGTCCGGAACTTACAAACGTTTGTTATGTATCTCTTCTTAAATAAAATCTTTATACTTTAATGTAATAACTAGGTGTGTAACTATGTGTAATTAGCGAACCGATGCGCGCAATCAAGCTCGCGCTCGCGTCACTACCACTCATGATTAAGGATCACGAATTAACCATGAAACTAGTCGAGCTACCACGATCTAATTACACGTAACTTACGTGTAACCGGTAGTTATTACATTCAAATATATTTATTTATTTTACACTTTATTGCACTAAGTAAAAAGAAAAATAACAAATACAGTAAATATTAATGAGAAGTGATACAAAAGGCGACCTTATCGCTAAGCAATCTCTTCCAGAATATATCTTTCTTTCTTTATTCTTTATTATACAGAAAAGGTTATAATATAATGTGTGTTTACAAAACATTTAACAATAAAAAAGTCTTTATGTCTTAAATTCTTATGTGTTGCAGTTGCAGGCATAGCAATCGTAACTTTTCCATTACTAATGCTTCCCGACTTCATATTAAACTTTAATATTTTAATCGAATCATCTTCAAGAAATTAGGTATTCACGAGGCGGTTCCTTATAAATACCATGTGAACGCAACAATAAAAGAAAATTGAAATGTTATTTACCATTTTAAAGCAATTGCGAGGTGCAATTTACAAAGTGGACAATCGTTAAGCCGAGATAAGATGCGAACGGAAAATGGCGATAACTTAGAGTGTCGATTGCGAAGTGGGCGGGAGATGTGTTTTTGGAAGAAATACGTGGTATTTTAAAATATATTCAGATCGCATGATTGTATTGTCATTTTAAAACTGACAAATTGTCACGACTTCATTTTTAATTATTATTTCGTGATATAAATTCGCCAAGGGTCCACAATTAAGATCTAAACTGTATGTATATTATGTATTAAAGAGGATATTGAAATGGTAACTTTTGTCGAGGACATAAGTATTAAGTTTTGTATTAAAATATTGCTAATAAAAACTCCAATTTCGATATTACATGGTTCTCTATATTCACTTTGTCTCCATAAATAAATTTGAAGTAAAAATGTTAATTTTAATTATGAATTTCTATACAATTACAGGACGAAGTCAAATTCTGTGCTGAGCGGCGCTGACAACAAGGAGCCCGCGCCTGCGCCGTCCCCTGCTGACTCCGGAGTCGCCGAGCTCGAGAGAGATCAACATGATTATAGGTAGATATTAAAGATGTGGACATCCACATAATAATGCTTAAACAATGGGGACAGCAGTCATGAAGAACCTTACCCTCGACTTCCGCGCGGTTTCCCCAGAAATCATTGTACGTAGTTAATTTATTGAGTTTGCCACGTTGGGTATATAATGTGATATCTGTTCAGCTCCTCGCTGGTCGCTGGTTTTTATTATATATACATTGGTCAGGAACTTAGATCCAGAAGAATAAAATTAAATAAAAATACAATGCCGTCTAGAGGCGTGCATGTATTGTGTAAAAAACAATTAAATATTCAACGAAACAAAAACAAAATAAAAAAATACTTTACAATAATTATCATCATCATATCAGCCTTTAACTGTCCCATGCTGAACATAAGTCTCTCTCTTAGGAAGGAGGGGATTGCCAGCAGTTGCCACGCTTGGCAGACGAATTGACAACCACAGTTAGGATTTGGAGATGTTTTAAGAGGGATGCTATTGCCCTTTTAAAACATGTCTAAAGCAAAACCTATAATTACCTATATATATTGAATATACCTATCATCCCTCACTGGTGCCCAACTCGATATATGTGTGGGAAAGGGATTGTTAGTAATGGAGACTGAGAATCCTATTGCTAGAAATATACCCAACTAGGTCGACCTCCTCGCGGTTCTCCCTGGAAACTATCATGGTTAATTCCTGATGAATTCATCATGATGGGCTAACTGGCCTGTTTTCATTCTCATCTATCACCCTTCACTGGTACTCCGCCAGTGTATCCCGTTAGCGCAGGCGGGGTACCATACCATTTTCATTTATAAAAAAAAACCCGGTATATGCGAGCTGGACATCAGTGAGATAGTGCAGGCGGGGTTGCCATTCCATTATCATAACATCCATTGAAAAAAAACTTCACTATTACCAACAATACACCCTCAGACGTGATTTAAAGGTTACTATAGTCACTTATAGTAAAATATCAATCAACACAATCGCTTCACTATATCTCTCAAATTATCATTATACGACCTAGTTAATAAAAAAAAAACAACTTGGCATCATTTAATTAGTATGAGTTACCACGCTGTTTATTGTAACCCATTCGTTGTAACTAAACCAAAACAATACCCAATAACAAAAGCAGGTTTATAAAAGAGGCGTAGCAAGTAAGTCCGTTACATGCAAACTGCAAACAGTACTATACTTGAATGTTTATTAGCGATACAGTTATTTTTTTAGTTAACCATTTGTAAATTGTATGGTGCCTATATACATTTATAATTTTTAAAAAGTCCAATCTGTACACGATAGTTGGTCCCTCGACTATTTCCACGTGAATATGAGATATTAAGTTGATTTTGAAATGCCATTACTAATCCTATGTAAATCTAAAATTGAACTTTTAAACTGATAACTTAAAAAAAGTGTAGCAGATCACCAAAAAGTAAGTTTAAAATAGTTTTGACTCATAACTATTATAAATATTTATACATAGCGATAAAGTCGCCCATTGTTTTCTCATTGTGATAATTTTTTGTAATTGTTTATATTTATAATAAGTTTACTATTGTAATCTTTTGGAGGAAACAATAAAGAGTATCTATCTATCTATCTATCTACATACTTAATTTTTTTCACTGGAAAGCTTTTAAATGTCCTTAATTAGATAAATACATTTAGCGCATATTGATCCTTCAAATTATTTCAGATTTTAACATCAAGAAAATATTTTAATTTTTAAAACAGAGAATTGTGCTTTAATTCTATCTCAATACTAGATCAGAATAAAAATAGCTTACTATAATCTTTTCCATGCCAGTTAAGTATATACTAAGTATCATGATTGGTCGAGCCGCTAAAATACCAAGAGGTAACACACTGACATAGGCGGGAAGGGATTGTATAGTAATGTGGACTACCAGTCCTATTGCTAGCAATATACCCTGTCAGGTCGACCTTCACGTGTTCCCTCCTGGAAACCATCGTGCTGAATTCAAGGTGTATTCATCATGATGGGTTAACCTGACGTGCCTTTTTATTCTCACTTGTATTCCGCAAGCGTATACCGTTACTGCAGGTGGGGCTACCATTCCATTATCATCTATTACAAATAAAAAACACATTGACATTAAACTAATTTTTTGTCCAATCTCTTCTAATCCAATATCAATCATGATTTCAGTACAACCGACCGTTTACGGAGTCACGAGGTACGCGTGCGTGCACCACGTGGCCTCATGCTGCAGAGCTACAGCACCCGCTCCAGGGACGAGAGGGACGCAGAGCTGGCCAGGGTCAGGAGGGACCGGGCGCTGCTGCGGCAACGACTGGAAGACACCGAGTGGAGTCTGTGCCAGAGGGCGGGCGAGATAGCACTGTTGAAGAACCAGCTGAAAGATGCTCAGGTTTGTTGAAATATTAAAAGAAGTAGACACATTAGAGAGTTCGTAGATATTATTAATCGATTAAATGCCATACAATCTCACCAAAACCAATTTCCTGGGTTTCAAACTAGGATGCTCTATTATGAGAAACCAATTAAATATTTGAGGACTTACCCAGAGACGGACCAATTTAGAAAACTTGTTTTCTAAATTGACCTAGCTTCAAACCTGTGATTATATTTTATTCATCTAAAAACTGTAACCTGTATCGACTTGGTATGGATGTTTTGAGAGTTATGGATGTCAGATATGAACGTTTTATTATTATAAAACTTTCACCTTTTGAGATCTAAACATATTGAGACTTAGATCCGTTAAGACTATGTTATATTCTGAAATATAGACATTTTGAATCTTATTATTTAAATTTCAGACTTGTATGTTCTAAGACTAAACGAAAAAATATTTAATCTAAAAATTGAGAATTAGTTTCTTGAAGTCATTTTAAAATTATAATCAATTTTCTCATTTGTAATTACAGAATGAACAAACAGCCAAAGGCCACGAATATCTCACTCTAAAAGCAGACTGCCGCCAACTCAGAGAAGCTCTCGACAAGAAGGAAAAAGACATAATAAGGCTCCGAGCTGAATCTGACGAGAAGGAAAAGATCGTTAACCGACTTCAGAAAGAAGTTGACAGACTCACAAACGACCTAATGGAAAGCGTTGCGGACTTAGCTAAAACAAAGGAGAACAGTAAAAACGAAATAGAAAGACTAAAAACAGAGCTAAAAGAACTCAGGCAAGAGTTATCGGATGTATCTCTAAGCGGTTACGAAGGTGTACAATGTGGGAGGACCATGCGAGAAATATACGATGTTTGCAAAACGAATGAATACCATTGGACATCAAGTGATAGTGCTTTAGAAGATGCTGAAGTTCAAAGACTGAATGGAGAACTGCCCGATCCCTGCGGAGACCCGTGTCCAGCAAGTGCTGTTGTGGAAAGCCTCAAATGTGAATTGGAAAGCAAAGAAACCCAGTTCAACAACGAAAGGCGAAAATGGTCGGAGGAAAAAGACAAAGTGCTAAGATACCAGAAGCAATTACAGCTGAATTACGTACAGATGTTTAAAAGAACACGCACCTTGGAAGCGGAAATGGACGGCCTTAGATTAGAACTGGAGTTGTGCAATAAGAATGCAAAGAACATGAACAACCACGGGAAAACAATAGAACTATAATTACACTACCAAATTCTATAGCGATTAATACCTATTTATAATAGAGAAGGCTATTTTTATCTTGTAAATATTTAATTTTAAATTTTATGATGATGTTTTCTTGCCCTTTATTGTCAGTTTCCCTAACTTGCTAGATAAGTTTGAGGCATAATACTCAGCTGACAATGTCCGAAATTATTAACTTATTGTACATTTTAGTTGTTATGAGATGTTACGAGAGCAAACGTAAGTGCTATATTGAGTACATTTACGTTTATATAAGAAAGTACCTATACTAAGTAAATAAAAGTATTTTACATATTTTTTATCTTTTTACATTTTATAGTCTTTCATCCATCCAGCGTTGTCTGTTATAGGCTTTCCTGTAACCTAAGGAATATTACCTACTATGAAATATTTTCCGAAATTTCGGGGACGAACGAAATAGAAATTTGATGTTAAAATGACATAATACATGTCGTTTAAAATTAAAAAAAATATTAAAATATCGTTCTTCTGGACTATTAGAATAGGATTTATGATGAATGAAACGTTAAGCTCCATTTACTGGGTCGATTTAGGTACGAACAAAAACACGAAATTAAGCCCGAAAATTCGGATTTTCATTTCATGGTAGGCCCCTGCTCTGCATTTTTAGACACCAAGTAAGTTAGGGCTTCCTATATATCATCACTTCATTTGTAAAAGATCTTTACTTCATTGAGTCTTACACTGTGTTTACCTATACACGATTATTAAACAACTGTCACTATCAGTATATCTTTGATTAAATTTTCAAACTTAGTAACTCGCGTTTTAAAACATAATCGACTTAATGACTTATTACAATCATCGTTCATCATTTCAGCCATTATCTGTCCTCTACTGAGCATAAGCCTACCATAAGGAAACGTTCCTTATAGCAATCTATGGGATGTGTGGGGTCTATGAGGGTAATATCACAATATAATAATATAAAAATCATTTTTTTACTTATTAGAGTCAAAATCTCGATATTTTTTTAAAACAGAATTACGAGTTTTGTAAATTTAGTTGATTATATAATAACAAGTAACAAAAAAAAATTACAACTGTAACATACAATACAACGTTTACAAACATACATATATGTTATGCCCGTCTCTCATTAGGGTAGGCAGAAACAATGAAACTCCAAATGCTCCGATTCAAACAGACCTCTGTCGCTTCCTTTACATTCATCAATCATTTCATACACGTTCACCAGTTACAAGTCCTTATAATTCGGCCCTTCTTCAGCACGTCGCCTGTGTAATATAACATTTATTCTATGTAATTAAAAATGAAACTATGGGAGTCATTACAATTAAACTCTATATTGGTGCCATGTGTTTATTGCGATCACACTTGCATATTTCCCTAAGTAAGGAGCAGAACAATACGATCTTCAATCATTGATACTTATTTCTAATAATATCTAATTCACGTAAAAAATACCTTTGTCACAATAATCGAGAATTAAATGATCAACAATTTAATTGTAATCATCGCTGATAGAACAATTAAAACTTAGATCTCAAATTAGACAAACCGAAATTTCTAGAACGGAATGTGAATCCCTCGCCTCCTTTCGAGATGCCAAAGTTCTCATTGTTTCTTGTTATTTTCGCTGGCTCCACCTAGAACAATATAAATTCATTTTTGTAATTTACATAAATTTAAAGTAGATAAACATAATAATGACCAAACAAATCTAAGCTGAAATAATAAAACAATTATTATATTTCATTTTAATTACTTTCGAAATATTGTTTTTCCAATGTAAGCATCGTATTCATTTTTTTTTATACAACTTAGAATGGCAAACAAGCTGACGGCCCACCTGATGGAAAGTGGTAACCGTCGCCTATAGACATGAGCAGTACCATGGGCATAACAGAGTATACTGTTTCGCCCATGATACTCCCATGCGTTGCCATTCCTGAGGACTCAGGTGTTATTCCTCTGTTCCCTGTAAATTCACGCCATATCCCACCCTTCAAACTGAAACACAGCCATGCAAATAACTGCTTTACGGTTAAAACACGAATGAGACAGAGGTACCCAAGCAATCGACTTTTGTACAAAGTCTCCCTCTGGTTATCATTCATCGAGTAGTTCTGAATGAAGTTCAAATAATCTTCTGACATAGCAAACAGTCAAAGTAGTAAGCGCATCAAATTACCATTATCCAGCAGCAAATAAATCTTATCACAACAACTTTAACCATTAAAACAAATAACGGTACATTAAAAGTATTCCTCAAAGATTTCTATATGGGAAGAAAATATGTCAACAGCTATTGTACTTGCGAGTAATTCTCTCTCTCTCTCTCTCTCTCTCTCTCAGAATTAACAAAGCACATAGTATTTTTTTTAATAGATGATAATGGAATGATAGTCCCACCTGCGCTAAAAGTATACGCTGGCGAGGCACCAGTGAGAGATGATATGTGAGAATGAAAAGGCAGGTCAGTTAGCCCATCGTGATTAATTCACCTGGAATTTAGCACGATGGAAGGGGGGACCACGTAGAGGTCGACCTGACATGGTGTATTACTACCAATGGGACTGGTAGTGTACATTACTAACCCCCCAGCACGTAGTATTATGTGACTGTTTATAACTTTGAATGACAAAAGAGCTGATGACCCACCGCATAGAAAGTGGTAATGGTCACCTACGTACGAGTATAGTCATGGGTAATATCCGTACCGCTCCGATATCTATATATTGGGTTACTCTGAAAATTGATGGAGTAAAATAGATCATTATCCATTTCGATATCGCATTTACTGGCGGATATCTGGATTAGTTTGAATATTGACAACCAATATATAACATATCTTTCATTGGACCAATATTTAGATATTTAACAATAATATATACATAGATATTGCTGTATGTTACCCATATTTACCTACAAACATGAACAGAAATATGGACATCACAGTATACACTGCGATGCCCATCTGATGCCGACGGTAGCCCTCAAGTGTTCTTATTCTTGACAACCAAGGTATTATGCCTCCGTATTGCAATTATTTAATTCTTTAAACTAAACCTTCGTACATGCTATTTTTTTTTATTTATATCTTAATAAGACAAGATGTTTTCTTCATTTTTAAAACGTTAGAAATGGCCGCCATTTTAATTAAGACATGTACTCGTATATTTATTTATAAGCAAAACGTATATATGCATATCAATATTATATGTAAAAGAACCTAAATTAAACTAATCGGCCTGATTTAGGAAAATTTTAAACCAATTATTCGCAACACTGAAAAACCCGCATTTTATTTTGATTTAATAAAATATATGTCAGCTAATAGCCAACTAAAATTTGACCCGTTTTTGACACTATGCTTTATCTATAAAAACACCATAAAGTAAAAGTTCATTTAACTGTTTTATTTACCATAAAATAAATAAAAATACCGTCTAAATATGCTGAATCTAATGTCGTCGTTTTTAGTTCAATATAGTTTCTATAGATGACAGTTACTACTTTGCATCAGGTAAACCATCTGGTTGTTTGCAATTCTAAGTTTATGCAAAAAAGGTCAAAGGAATTCTTTAACCCAACTGTTTACTACTTATAGACATACCTGTGTGACGTCACCGATAGTGGACCGTTTTCTCCATTTGTACCACCAATACTCGACGCCGAGAGTGATGCAAGCCAGACCGATACCCATGAAAATAACTATGAACACGCCACCTATGTTCTGTATTGAGATCCCATCCGACTGTAAGAAAAGGTATATTTGTTGATAAGTTTTTTGCATAATAGATAAACAGAAAAAAAAAATACAGTAGTAAACTTATTATAGATACAATATTATCTATACTTATAATAAATCTGTAGAGAGGTCAATTCTGTACATGAAATATATTCCCAAAATAACTATCAGGGGGTGATTAGTGATCGATACTGATGCCAAAAATGCAATCAGTAAAATTTTTGTCTGTCTGTATGTTCGTTATAGAAACAAAAACTACTAAACGGATTTTAACGAAACTTGATACAATTATTCTTCATACTCCTAGGCAGGTTATAGTATACTTTTCATCACGCTATGATCAATAGGAGCAGAGCAGTGAAGGGAAATGTGTCTGTTACGTCAAAACCACTGAACCGTGAGGAAGGACATAGGCTACTTATTTTACGAAAAACGACGGAAACGCGGACAAAGTCGCTGGCAACAACTAGTAAATAATATGATAATAGTGTGAGTTTTTTAATAGTGTATGGTTTTTTTATTAGTGTGAAAATGCTAGCGAGATACCAATAGGTAAGTAATGATAGTTGAGGATGGAAATTTTAAGGTTAATTAATACATCGTAATGAATTTACTTTCTTACATATGGCTGCCAAACCTGGGCTCTTACCAAATCCCACTTTAAAAAACTACAAAATTGCCAGAATGCCATGGAAAGAAGTATGATGGGGATAAGATTATCAGACAGAATTAAAACTAGCACAATTAAAAAACACATAAAAACTAAAGATGTTACAGTCACAGTTAAAAAACTTAAATGGAAATGGGCAGGGCATACAATTAGAGGGAGAGATAAATGGAGTAAAAAGATAATGTTTTGGTACACGAAAGACAAAAAAAGGAGAAGAGGAAGACCGCATAGAAGATGGGTAGATGACATTAGGGCTGAAGCAGGGGGTATTTGGACAAGAATTGCTAGCAATAGAGACCATTGGAGACAGTTGGAGGAGGCCTTTGCTAATAAGCAAACAGACAACAGCAATTAAATAAGTAATAAGTTGTTTTAAAAAAAAAATGTCTGAATAAAGGCTTATATTATTATTATTATATTATATAATGAATTTACTAGGAATTACGACAGTTTTTAGAAGGGGCCATATGAAGGTCCAGAAATGTGAATTGAAAAATTAATGTCAGCACCTAATGAAAAACTGTATAAAAAACTATCATCGTCATAATATCAGCCGTCAAATGGCCATTGCTATACATAAGCCTTCTCCACAAGGGGAGTTTTGCCGGTAATTACTACGCTTGGTAGACGGGTTGGCAACCACAGTTTTTTTTTTATGGTTGAAAATGGTATGGTAACCCCGCCTGCGCTAACGGTATACGCTGGCGGAGCACCAGTGAAGGGTGACAGATGATAATGAAAACAAGCCAGTTAGCCCATCATGGTGAAATCATCAGGAATTAACCATGATAGTTTCCAGGGAGAACCGCGACGAGGTCGACCTGGTTGGATATATTGCTAGCAATGGGATTCTCAGTCTCCATTACTAACAATTCCTTTCCCCCTTGGCAACAACAGTTAGGCTTTTAGTGATGTTCTAAGAGCGACGCTGCTGCCTACCCTCGCTCTCCCTTAGTTGGCTCTTACGACACACACGAGAAAGGAAGGAGTGGCCTATTCTATGCCGGGGCACACACGGCAACTTCAGCATAATACTTACTAATATTATAAATTTAAAAGTGAGTTTGTTTGTTAGTTACCTGTTAGTGCTAATTACTAAAATTTTTTTATATACACACAGATACGGCCTGTAGAAAGTTATTTTTTATCCCGGATTTAGGCCAATCCAAAGTAAACTAAAGAAAGCGACAGTTTCTATAGAGAGATTGCCCAGTTTCTAGGAGCATAATCATACAAATAAAGGAAACGTACCTGATCATCTTGTTTTTCACATTTCATAGCATTAGGATTGTTAGTCCACCAATTCTCTTTTAATTTTTCCAGTTTCCGTTTGTTGAGGAGTTGAAGTATGCTAGAAAATAAATTGGAACATTGTTATTTTTAATTTAAATTAACTTATTTTTTAATAAAAAAAAAACAATGTGTATGTTACACGTTGTTGTTTCTTTTTATTAAAAAAAAAACAATCAATTTTTCATTTCTAGTACTTTCACTTCTTGGTTTATTTATTTGTATTTTTTTGCATGCAACATAGTACAGATTAGTTGTTATAATGGGTAAGTACATAAGACATATGACACCCCGTAGACTGCAATTTATATTAAAGTTATACAAAAATTCTATAATACTGTAATTATGTTACTTCCATAGTATAAAGTAACATTTCCCGTTGAAGGAAAATTATTAGAAAAATGTGGGAAAAATCAATAGCCGAAAATTCATTTAGGAACAACATTTCCTTTCAATGCAAAAAGACAGCACTTTCTATATATTGATATCTTGAATGTTCCACTACTAAAAACATATTCGTTATTTTTTGACTTGCTTCGATAGATTCGTTTTCGTCAATGTAAGTATGAGACACCTAATGCTGCTGTCTCGTTCTACCTCATGCACATATACTTATCGTCGTTTGCCTATTACAAATGGGAACTAGTTTTGTAACCTTGAACCTCAACCGAAACAGTACTTCAAATAGGTACTAGAGAAATGATGCGTCATACTCTTGCCCAAAGATTGCAAAATATGTTACAATAATTTGGTCAGCAATGTTTTGTTTGGGTATCTATTTTTTATATCTTTCGCTCGCCTAAAAATAGTTTATCCTATTTTCAACCGACTTCAAAAAAGGAGATTCTCAAATCGGTTGTATTTTTTACGTTTGTTAGTCATCCATCAGTTCCAAAATGATTTAAAAAATTATTTTTTATCTTAAAAATTTATCAAAATTGGTTCAGCTAAAGCTAAACTAACTTTTAAATTAAAATAACTGATTTTGTCACACTTGAAGTCGGTTTTTTTTTGTTGGACACACTCTTTAATTATGCAACCAAATGTTATTAATATTAATATGTTTTTATATTCTGTCATAGTCTACTACATACTATACATGTAATATTTTATTACGGGAAGAAAATGAAATTATGATCTTGTCTGCGCTATCAGTATACTCTGGTGGGGTATTAGTGAATGAAGACAGGTGAGGTTGAAGTCATATCAATTGGTATTTCACGAGGAATTCACAAGGAATTAACCACCAGCTTTGCAGTGCAACAGTTATTATATAATGAATGATATCTTGAGTTTAATTTCGAGTAGATTTTCTAATGGAAAATGGAACAAAATAGTTTGTAATATATCTGAAATAATCTCCATATTACAACCCATGGACATCAGGAATATTGATGAAAATTTTAAAGATGAGCATTTTTCGTTGCTATTTTGCAACAAGGAAAAGTTACTTAAATGGCAAGTTAGTAATATTATATTCCTGGGTGAGCGTATTGGAAGACTGTAAGGCTCACCCAGTGGATGTAATAAATAAATAAATTATTAATTGTAGTTAATTTTTAACTTCACCTACCTAAATTTAAATTTACCCATATTTATACACCTTTAAAGACTTCAAAATGTAGTTGACACAATGACCAGAATTTACAACATTTCACATTGCGATATATATTTTTTTGGACGATATGAAAAGCCGAAACAAAAGCAAAATTACATTACATATATGAATAAACACATTATCAACGACACTATTAGTATAAATGCGAATTCATCGTTGTTGTATTAATGTACGCGAGGTCACCTTTCCTGCAGCAATTTACATAAACGGTCACCGGCACAAGCTAGTTACAGCACTATATGCAATTAATATTTAACGATGTTTCATATATAACTGTTTTTACTTTATTTTCTCTTTACTAATAATTAAATAAAACTAGGCATTATTGCACAGGGTCATCTAGTCCAAAACTATATAGATATATAGATAATTTATTTACAGCACACAAATTACAATAAAAAAACATACACATAATACACAGTAAAAGAGATAAAAGAATGAAAATAAAAAAGCACAAATAAAAAAAAACTTAAAAACAAAATATATAAACTAACAATCTCCTTTCTTTCTCTTTCTTCATGCGTGTGCCACAGTAACACAAAATGGTCACAACTTAGTTTATTGCTTTGCCCTAAAAGAGCAAAACACTATACTGAATTTGTATGGTTACTTACTGTTAGTCGTACAAATATAATGGGCATTTATATGACTATTGTATTTTAAATTTTTATTAATGTTTTATAATAGTCATTGCAAACTCCTTAGTTCTTTAATCGATTTTTTGTTTTTCTAAATTATTTAATACTTTTTTGTTTTTATAATTGTCACATTTCTTTTTTCGCTGTCGTACTTTACATTATGTAGTATTCTTTATTATAGTTATTTTCCTTTAAACTTATTATTTAATTATACTAAATACATCAACATACAGTCCATAATGTCACCTACATTCGTACATATTATACCTATAAAAGTTAATCTATAAATTATGTAAATGCCAACGTAAAAATAACTACATGAAAATCATTAATAACAAAGTGAAAGACGATTAACACATTATTGTCTTGATATCATCACATATTGACACTTTAAATATGGTATAAGTAATTGTACTAAAACATAGCATAGGCTTTGCCGCCCTCTGCGATCTCCCCTCACCCTTAAATATACGTCAGCGCCCAAACTAATGTATATCTCTAATCTACGCTTCAGTCACCGTCGATGTCAGAGAAGGACAGAGGATACATTATTTACGAGGTATGAAAAGGATAACTACGTAGTCTTCGCTAGTCTTAATTTTTATAGAAATCCAAAATTGAAATTCGAAATAGACAATCGTTGCGTCGCACAAACTTTGTAATTATTTTTGGAACGAACCATTTAGACAACTAACAAAATAATAGCATACTCCCATCTCATTAAAAATGACAACAATGTCTTATAGACATGGAAAGTACTGTGTCTCCCAGAATATACTGTGACATCCATGGCACCACTCATGCGTTGCTATTAATTAGAACAAAGGTGTTATACATTAATTAAATCCATCTAAAAATATTTATACTAGTAAATATTAACAGTGATTTACTAAGAGAAAGTAAGATACTGGTAATAATGTATTGTTAATAGGTATAAGTATATATCATACTTATTACATTGGTGCAGTTAAATTAAGAAAAAAAGCTACACTTAGATCTGTATTAATAACTATAATGTATATATGTGTATAATTTAAAATATTAATATGATAATAATTAGTAGGATGTTAACTACAGTACACATTTGTTATTTTCCAAAGATTAGCTTATTTTATAATGAACACTACGCTGCTTTTTCAAAGTCACAGCTTCAATCCACATTCTATTCAATTATTTATTATTATTTATTTTATTCAATTCAATGCGCACTTTTCCCTGCACTAACCCTAAATACACGCACACATTGAAAGACAGTTGTTGTGTACATGTAAAGATATTGTCACATGTAAAGAGGTTACTTGTTTCTGTAGTTGTGATAATCGGGAATCACAGCGTTTTTGCATAAAGTTTTCGAGGTGTGCCTTGACTCTAATTCAGCTTGCACTACTTTTTATAAATAGGCATTATCGTCTATCGATACATAATATTAATTGGTCAGTCATTTGTACAAAATTAGAGACTGTCACGAAATTAAAAAACTTGTTACGAACCGCCGCCCCTTGGGCAAATGCCAAACGAATCTATACATAGATACGTTTCTATTAGCAATTGTATATGAAAGAACAAGTCGCCACTATCCCATTTTATCTCAAGTACTTAGTAGCGATAACGATCTTATCGATTATCGATAGACTGGTTTGCCACTTCCTTAAAAAGGCTAACTCGAAGTGTGTGGGGGGAAAGGGATTGTTAGCAATGGAGTTTGACAGCCGCATTGCTAGCAATATGCCCTATTAGGTCGACCTCCACCTGGTTCCCCCTGGAAACCATTGTGAACAATCGAAAACAATTGTTGAATTCTTTACGATAGGCTAACTGACCTGCTTCATCCTCACCTATCATCCTTCACTGGTGCCCCGCCGGTGAATACCGATAGCGCGGGTGGGGTTACCATTCCATTATCACCCATTAAAAAAAAAAACTTAAAATGTGTTCGACCTGACAAGTATGTCGTATTCAATAGTTTACATTGATAGTGTACTAAGAGAGGTACAGATAGCCTCAGCGTAGTGTATTGTTTCTAGTTAGCACTACGTATAAGTCGACGCGACAACCGGTCAGGTACCAATATACCCTGGCACTTCGTTGTCAATGAACTGCTAGTTCCTCTCTATCTCTGTTCCTTGAATTGAATGAAAATTTATAAATAACCTCTATCTACGTCATTTGTTTATGCTGGCGGAGCGTCATATACTTCAATGGGCGTAGTGAGTGTAAGAGGTGAAGATAAAGATGTGTAGATTCACAGAACTGACTCGAGTCAGTCGAAGTGCCAGAAATTGTCTCTTTTTAAAATTAAAAAATTTTACCTGACTGAATATCGGATATTCTATATTAATCATATCTACATATGGACGGCTATAGTGATTTAAAAACCAACTGAATTGTGAAAAAAGGACGTCTGCGAGCAATTAAAGCTTGTACATTTATATAATTTTTAGTAATTATTTAAATAAAAAAATTAATAAGCAATTATGTTATGTTGGCGTCTAAATACTACTGATATAATATTTTTAATCGTTAATATCTTTCTTGCGACTTTGAGAACCGGTTAGGTTCTTATGCAATTCACGTTTATTGCTCACACTTATTTTTTATTTTCAAACGTACCTAAATAATTGTTCGTTTTAACCTTAGCCGAAACTTCGTCCGATGACCGTTACTATAATTGTATTTAAATTAAAGTTATTGTACACAGACAATAAAAAATGGAAACAATTAAAAATGCGGACGCAATAATTTATATAAAATTTCGATGTAGAGTTAATATTAGTGAATACTGTCTATATAATGTTGACTATAACTGAGACCGAGATGTCACTTTAGAATTATATTTCTATACATTTTCGATCTTGAACACAAATTATATTCAAAAATAAAAAAAAAATTCAAGCATTAGAATTCCATTATTTAATTTATACAATAAGTACGCAAGATACTAAGGATTATCAAGTATAGTTTCGCGCGAAAATTCACTATAGTATCCAACTGAGCCTCATCACTCCCAACAAAAAAAAATTGAATAAAATCTATGTAATCATTCATTAATTTTGAAAATTGTTATGCTCTATAAAATAACTAGAACTTTTGTGATACCTATCGATATCTTTTTAACATAGACATAGTATAAATAGTCATGCGGCACTATAAATATTAATGTCTTTTATTACGTTAACACTATATATTTGCATAGATTATTTTACTACTTTCATCAATATATAAGGGCAGTGGCGACTCTTAAATTTATTTATTATGGTTATATACTCTGTGGTAGTTTTTATGTAGGTACGTTTTAATTCGTAGGTCTACAACCTAATTTTTTTTTATTTTTAAATATTAAATTTCATTTTCTTTTTTTTAAATAATCCGTTAGAAATATTGAAAAATTTTCAACTGTTTTTGAAAATTAACAGTTAATGACAACGTTACCACACACCGCCAAGCTAAAATTATGAACGGTCTTAGTAAATTATATATTTAAAAAAATCTTACGCATTATTGAACTGATCCTTCAACGGAGAGCCTTGTTGGACAGCAATTGCATACGGCTTCCTCGAGAACTCATCGCCAACCATCTGAAGGTCGCAGCTAGTTAAGACATGGTATCTAACATCAGTTGCATCACCAAGCCAAGCGAAGCCCTCGCTAGAACTCTTGGAGTCCTTCACTCTTTGTATTGCTTCTTCGACAGAATTCGGCAGCCCTGCTTCTTTCATAGCCTGCCACATCTTGCTGTATTTATCGCTAACAGGATAGTCCCATACAGCTAGTTTTGCTCGTTCCACGTCACTGAGACTGTCGTTTAGACTCATCTCTTTCCAGATCCTGCACGGGAGTTAAAATGTGATATTTATAATTTCATCAACATCAAGTATAATAATATCTGAACGGCACAGACTATATTCTATGATTTCCTGACTTCTTTGGTGATAGTGACATTTATAGGTAACAGTTACCATCCACCACGTACTATCTGATAGACCTTCAACGTATTTACAATTTCAGAAGTATAAAAAAATTAAGGTCTAAGCTTTCTTAGACATTAATATTTTTTTGTAGCACAAGTTGGCAGTAAAATTACCCTCCCTGATGGTAAGCGATTAATGTATCCTATACATACTCTTTGTTACTCTTGAAAAAAATTCTGTCTTTATAACTTTCACTTTTATTAGTTAAGTGAGGTTTTTTAGTGAATTAACTATAAATCTATTTATATCTACAGTTTGTTTAACTAATAAAATGTATAATAATTTTCAACATTTGTAGGTATGTTACTCGGTATCCTTGCTAATTCAAAATCGAATTTAATAAAAATAAAATTGCAATTGATAGGAGTTTGAAGTCAGTGGAGTCGATTCTGAAGCTGAAGAATTTAATAAACATATCTCCAAAATAAAAAAATCAATTTAATATCGCAGCGAAATCTTTATTATAAGGATCAATATGAATTAACTTTCTAATAGATTTAAATCAATATTAATTTTTTATCATTTTTTGGTTTATGGTGGTCCATAAAACAGTATTTTTACAAAATTATCAGATAAAAATATTAGGTTAGTATAATAAACCTATCTGGTTTAAAGAAATGACGCCTCAGAATTGACCTCAAACAAAATCTTATGTTTTCTATATACCAGTACATATAGACTTACCTATAAACATCCAAAATTCAAATACAGTTTTCAAATAGACATGCATATTTTAAAATTAAAATTACACATTACATTTGTTTGCAGATGTTATGATGGAACGAGAGTCAGATAAGAATGATAACCGAGATTATGTGAGTGACCGATAACACGCATCGTTGCTAACAAAACTCTTTTTGACAGATATTTAATGCACAAAATAAATGAAATTTATACATTATACAGTATTATATAGTATTTATTATACATTTATACAGATAATTAAAACAAATGCTAAGAAATAGTCCATTTTTTTAAACACAAAGGGCAAACGAGCGTTTGATGGTAAGTGACTACAGCCATCCATGAGCATCATGTATCAATCTGAACAATTCTTCTGAATACTTCCTATTTACATTAACACTTACGACAAAAGATGCTTAGGGATGCAACGTCTCTTCGTAGTTACAGTGGGTCGAGTCTGATAGTAAGGGGCTGATTATCAATAATTCGAACCGCCCGACGAAAGCAGTCTAATGAAAGAAGCTGGTAATGTGCTGCTCTAGCCCAGAGGTATTCCAGTATAGTAAAATATTTCATGTGTGGCCGAATTTGAGCTTTATACAATTGCAAGTAATGTGCCGGCATAAAATAGTAAATGAAATATCGAATGAAAGATGTAGAGAAAACGGTATTAAATTTACAAGGATAGAATCAGTTTTGAACAAGTTTTATATTCTTTGAACTTACGAAACCTAATTGAAATAAAAACACATTTGTTATAAAGGAAACAAAGTTAGGTATACAGATATAAATAGAGCGAATAGGATTTTATTACTTCAACTTACCTACCCTAAATAAAATTCGCGGAATTTTAGCACGTTTTTTCAGTCCGATCTGCTCTACTAGTAGAACTAAATCGTAGACAATAGAGATATAATCGTTATGATAAAGAATGAATAATGATAAGTTGAAGAAAATATTTAGTAGATTTTGTATTAATTTATTTATTTATTTACAAGAACGTATGTAGTAGTAGTAATGTATGAAAAAAGAAGTATGTAGTAGTAGTAATGTATAAAAAAAAAAGTTATGCATCCATAACATTTTGACGGCCCTTTAAATACAAACATATATAAAGTATCAAATTCCATTATATTTTCAAAGGCAGGTATTAAATATTTGATTTTAATAGTAACTTATTTTAACTATTGGGTAATAACAATAAGTTACTATTACCTAACAGTAAAAATAAGTTATATTGACAAATAATAAATTGACATTTATTTAAGACATATATATATTCTGGGCTAAAAACATTTTGCTCTAATTTAATCATGTATCGAATTTTCTTCAATTCAATCTAATTCAATCATTATTAATTGATTGACTACGCCACATAATTAATCGAACATAACCTACTTATGATCATATAAGTACGTATATCCACAGTTGATCGTACACGTGCATAATAAAATAATGACAACCGGTCGGAAATAATAAAATATCGATTCAATACAGAGTATACAGAGATATAGAGGCGAATTGAAACTTTTTGTGTCATTCCCGCCATCTTAGTAAATTTCGATTCTCTAGAGAATTATTTCTATACAAATTTTATAAAGACTGCTTTCTTTTTTGTACAATTTAATTATAAAATTTCTTAAGATTTACCGTAAAAGCTGATGTACTATATAAGCTAATGATTACGACACACTAATGATTAAAAAACCTCTATGGTACTTTCATATATATTATTTACTTTATTATAGAATATAATATATTTTAATTTATCAATATAGTTTAATTTATATTATCTATCAATCTTATTTACGCTGATTTCATGGGTATTCAGAGAGAACGATCGCTTTAATCCATTTACTTGTAATGAAATTCTTGTTGATAAATTACCAGTATAAGTGTTTGTAAATTTTTAATTATTTTTATTGATAGGTAGGCAAAAGTGTCCACGTTATGGGAAGTGGCTAGCATCATTTACATCGATGGTTAACGGAAAATAACTCGGAACAGGAACAAAAATTTAGAGGTGCTCCAGAAAAATCTTAATTGATTCTTTTTTTTATTTGTGAAAACGTGTAATTAGCTTTTTGGCTTTATTATTTATTATTATACTATATTGTTTTTAATATAAAATTTTTTAGCTGTTGATTTTCTTTAATAAAAAATAAATAAATACCATAGAACTGAAAAGAAGGTTAATTAATTAAAACAATAATCAACTCTATTTTAATTTTATAATTTAAATCAATAACAAGTTTTACATCAATATTGACATAAAAAATATTTTTTATGGAACATAAAAAGGTGATAAGTATGTAAGTTTGAAAAAAAATGTCAACCACTATTTTATGTTAATTCGATTTGTGATAGTTTATAAATATAGGAAAGGTTCCCTTTATTTATTATAAATATACTACATACTACAATAAGAATATTGTACTACGGATATTGATCTTATTTGAATCAAATCAGGTCAACTAAATAATTTTGTAGTACTTACCTATACATAAAACCTAGATATAGGAAGGTATATGACCCTGCAAATGCTTATTGTAGTTCAACGCTCAATGTAGGTCACATTTGTGGATTAAATTGACCCCATTCACAGACAAACTACAGTGTGTGAGTAAATTAACTACGATAGTACTTACGCTTGTGTTGTAACAAATGTGTAACTTGTTTATTCTAACTTGTACGTTAAAACTTATATTAAAGTATAGACTATTTTCGTTAACATGGCATGTCCTTTCAATTTTTTACTTCAATGTGTGTAGGACCATATGCAGATATGGTGCTCTGTTTGTGTTTGTAAGGAAACGTCTTCAGTAGCAGTCCAGCTAGAGGTACTCCTCTATATTCCTTGGTCGAAATCTTGTTAATATTTTTCAATAACATGTTTTTAATTTTTTTAATTTTGGAGGGGGTGCCATGTTTACGTAGACAATCTGTACCTAGTACTATTTTTGTGCTTACAAACAACATAGACAAGATAGACAAATATAAATTCAGACATTATTTCAATCGAGGTATATAAAAACTAAACGTGCCACTATTAAACAACTTTGCTTTAATTTCTAAACTACATTTTTATGTCTAAGTTGTAATAAATGGTTAAATAAATAAATAATTACTTACTAACAAAAGCTATCTGTTGATAGCAAATACTTTCCGGCCCTAAACGCTTTCGAAAAAAACATTATTACTCTTGTCAGTGTATTCAGTAATACTTTTTTCGAAATAAATGTTATGTAGGAACTCGAATTGGTATTTGATCCGAGTCAATTATTTTCATATTTTTAATTTTAATAGACGCCATGGTTCTTTACATGGTTTTCCACACCAAAGTTAATTAGCACCTTTATTACTTACTCATAGAACCTGGCTTCGATTTGAGCCATCCTCTCGAAGTAAATCATCTCAGCTGAGCCATTCAGTGGCGCATACTGTATTTTGTACTGTTTCGACAAATCGTCTAGTGACTCTATAGGTGTGTCCAAACGGGACACGGTCAGGAAAGCGGCCAAATTCGCTGTATACGATGCTATTATGATGAAACTGTGAAATAAAAATAAACATCAACTAATAATTGGCACTACATTACTCACTCATAGAACCTGACTTCAATATGAGCCATCCTCTCGAAGTAGGTCATCGCGGATGAGCCGTTCAAAGGCGCATACTGTATTTTGTACTGTTTGGACAAGTCGTCGAGTGATTCTATAGGGGTGTCGAGTCGGGATACAGTCAGGAACGCGGCCAAGTTCGCTGTATACGATGCTATTATGATGAAACTGTGAAATAAAAATAATATAAATTGATAACACTTTGATTTTCTGGAAACTCAAGCGACAGAGTTATAAAAGAAAACAAAATTACTGATTGCGTTTGTATCTCTCTGTTTATGCAAGATAAAATTGATGTCCTTGGTATTCTTTGAAGGGAGAGTTCTACGAGTAAAAACTGAGCATTTTGCCAAAGATTAATAGGTTGAGCTGCTGTGTGGTCTCGTCATAAAATAGGCCATCCATTCTTTTTCCGTAAGTATCGTATGGGGCGACTAAAAGAACTTAATGGTCAAGGGATAGGTAGCAGCGTCTCTCTTAAAACATCCCCAAAGCCTAACTGCGGTTGCTAACCTGTCTGCCAAGAGTGGTAACCATAGGCAAAACCCCAATTATGAGGAGCCTATGTCCAGCAGCGGGCACAGCATAATGATAAGTCGAAAAACGATATAATATTTATATTTCCATACTAACGGATCGCAAAATAATTTGAACCTCTCATACCAACTCGTCAATTGAACGCGGAGTGTTAGTATGAAAGACTGAAAATTGGTTGTCGTTTTTCTACTCAAATTTTTAGAAAAATATTCAGTTTCACAGACAAAAGACTCTCTTAAGAGGATACTCATCATTACTATTTCACCCAATACTATCAACTTGAATCTTTGAGTTTACTTCGTGGCTTTTATTACTGATTTACAGTTACACAATTTCTCCAGGAATATTTTTATATCCATTGCTCCCAAGCGAAGTTAGGGTAGTAGCTGATCCAACACGTAACTGTAATTTTTACTATCTCAAAAGAAAAATAAAAGATAATTATCTAATCAGCCCTCTCCCAAACAAGTGGCAAGCGAATTCATCGATGGAATCGTTATCTTTAACAAAACCATGAGATAGAATGAGACAGCAATGTCCGATGTCTCTTTCTAACTCACGGACTCGCTAACACCGATTCCATCGATGGATTCGTTTACCATTTGTCTACGGAGACAGGTATAAAGCAATTTATTTTCAATATCTTTTACTTTATTACCACTTACAAAAAGTGGCATTTCAATTGCTCATTACCCAAGGAGAACTATTTAAACCGTAAACTATCTAAAGAATTAGAATTTTGCCACATTGTATTTAATATTTTAAAATGAGCAGACAAATTAGTTTTAATTGCTTTTTAAAATTTGCTAATTAGGATATATGTGTTTTTGTAAATGCCACTTTAAATACATAAACGGAAGTCTGTTATTGATTTACTACAAGGTTTTTACACTTAGGTCACTGCACTTATTATCAAAATGGTACAAAAATTTAATGCAGGATGAGATTATTTTAATGCAAAGTCAAACAAGCCGCTGCTCGTCTGTACGTACATACAATATGATGCTGTGTCATTTAATTTTAGATTGTGAATAGATAAATTGCTAATGTAAAAGTTTACAATATCAAAAATAAATTAAAGAGACACTTTTGTATATTAATTTTTTTAATGTGTCCAATGTAAATTCAAGTCCAGCAATGGACGAGTAATGGCTGAAATGATGAATGTGAATTATGTACAATAAAATACAATACTTTTGGTCCGCTTATTATATTATTGAAATGTTTTAATTATTATATAGACAAATTTACTTAAGAACAATTTAACAAATATTTTGTATCCCAGGAACGGTAACGTATATACAGGAACAATACTCCCATAGTTTACCTTCACGTCATTAACATACAATCTCTATGAGCATACCATGGACCGTAGACAGCATGGTGTATTTTAATAATAAAATCTACGGTGCTATTCGTAAAGTTCATATTGAGTACAGTATAAAAAAAAATTGTTATCGGAGTCTTAGAGAAACTTTGATGTGGCTCAAAATGACAAGATCTGATTTCATAAACCTCTAAATTTACTATGATTATGTTTACCTAATCATTATTGCCCTTTTAGCCTTTAATTGTCCACAGCTGAACGTAGGCCTTACCATAAAGTAACGTGAAGAGCCACCTACGCTCACTATCTCTCTGCAATACATTTGAGATTGTCTTATTGTTAACTAACTATACAGGGTTGCCACTCAAGAACATTCCCACCTTAACCGTCTTTGGTATATTCATATATATCATAAGGAAGAAAGAGTCTGGTCATCCAGATCATTGCAATATCAGCTTGCTGATTATAAACTATATTGGTCACTTTAGTTTTTCTGAGGATACCCCATTTAAAATTAGAATTCTAGCACAAAGTTAAATATAGCAAATGTACATACCGTGCATAGGCCTCCGCGATTCCGTTCAAATTTAGATCGTATAAAAAATTTTTTTCCTTGTTTCCATCTAAGGGTACATATAAATGCATCGTTCGAAATGCTACGTGAAGTTGAAGCTTTCTTTTACAACGAAGACAAGCTAGAAACTATTACCACTACAAGACGCCACCCTTACACGTTTAGAGCTAGTAAACTAATCTTATATCGCATGAGGAACTTCTTTGCAGTTAATTAATCAATGACTGAGATAATATTTAGTTAATAAGGATACAGATTGGTATTCTATACCTTCAACTTCATAATGTGAGGAGTGATAACTTCGAATGCCAATGTTGTCAAGTTGTAGGAAGTAAAGTCAATAGATGCAAATATTTAAAACAAACGACAGGTTGTAACAAAATATGAGAAAGACATTCAATAGTATATAATGAAGGAATTGATGTTGACAATGATAATGGTGTCCCAACATATGTTGTTTTGCAATTATTTTTTTATCAAGTAAAGCTATCTTATCTCTCAAGTTAGAGCAAACAATGTGCACTAAGAAATTTTCATCAAAATCAGTTGAACGGTTCAGAAGATTAACGTGAACGAACATCGTCATACGATATTTTTACAATAATGATTAACATACCCAAAAAGCCACCATGTAGCTGCTAGGAGCCTCCCAGAGAGATTCTTTGGCGCCTCCCCTCCTCCTTGAGGTGTCAGCGAAGTCATACAGAACCACAAGCACTCTTTCAGAGTAAATTCACGTTTCTCCTCGTCATCTTTATACTTCTCCCGATTGTTCTGATAACTATACGGGCTCCATTTATCGAATACCCACATTAGAAAACTGGAAAAGAATATTGAATTAAAAGTAATAAAAGATAATTTAATTATATTACAGATTAGTAATAATAGTTAATAATAACTTAAAAGGATAAGTATATGGCAGGAGTGACCGACTTGACTAGACCCAAGATCTACTGTTTACTGACGAAACCCTGTACGATTTACCAATAACATACTTCTTGAAATCACAAATAAAACAACTTAGTTCAGTACACAATTACGTAGTTTTGTAGTATTTTTTATTATATTACGATGGAAAACATAAAACTGAAAATTATTGTTTGTAACTACTTATTTATATTAGTGCGAGCATTGCGTCTGAGCATCTTCCGTTAGATTAGCAAAATCAGGTTTATAGTTGGAATTTACCAACCTTAAAAAATTCAATGTATGAGTATTTATTTTTTGTAGGAAAACGCTAACTCACATAAATATGTTGAACCAAAACACGAATACAGTTGTTCGACACATTTCTTCAAATTTTGATATTTCTCGTTGGAAACCACTGCCCAGAAATCTAGATATGGATGACCTTGCTTTTAGAAATATTTCGCAGCGCAGGGTAATTTATATTTCTTGCCTTGCCACGATCGACTGGACTAATAGTCGTGATCGACCGGTCGAACGCTATCGACCAATTGGCCACTTCTAGTATAAGGTATAAAAACATTGCAGTAGCCAAACTAGCAAAGCATCTTCGCTGTACAGAGCTTAGCCAAATTTAAGGTACTAGCTTTATCTAGCTTTGTTCGCGTGACCAGTACATATTTATTGACCGGGATAAAAAATATCCTTCTCTGCCTCATATAGCATGTGTGTATACCAAATTTCATAACGATTGATTAAGCCATCAAGGCGTTAAGAGAAGTGATTTTGATATTTTTTTATAAGACCAATCTGTAAGTATAACCTTTCAGATATAAAAAGAATACCCCAAATCGGTTTAGAACTGACAGAGTTATAAGGTAGCAAACATACAACCGCATAAAATACAACCGCATTAAGAATCTCGTTTTCTTTGAAGTTGGTTGAAAATATATTTCTTTAGGCTATTCGCTAGGCTAAAGACTTGGAAGCACATAGATATGTATATATTTGGTTTTATACATAGGTATATACTATTTACATACAACCCGAAACACATTTATCTAAGTCTAATCCAAATTGACAACCCTAGGTGATATCATAAAAGAGTCATGTTAATCGATTATTCAAAGAAAGCGTTTTTTGTTGAACATGTAATTTCTAATCAATATGATATCTATATCTATATATATATATATATATATATATATATATATATATATATATATATATATATATATATCTTTAGTATATTTAATTGTATGTATTTATTTATGTAATATTAGAGTATTTACATAATTTTCTGTTTTATGCGCATGTCTTCACGAAGCACTTCATTTTAACTTGTTGCTTTCGTAAAACTGGCTTAGTATTTTAATTTAATTTATATTTGTAAACCACCGTGTCTTGGTAATCTCATATGGACTCCCGCGATACAGGTTCTCCTAGTGCGAGGTCCAATGTACTCGCTGTTGTATTTTTTTTTTGTATTTAATAAATAAATATATATATATATATATATATATATATATATATATATATATATATATATATATTCTTTTGTGACTGACTACTAAAACAAGTACTCAATTATAATGTTACGGAATGTTTTGGCTAACCCTAAACCGATTTTGATAATTCTTTTTCACGTTATCTACGATAATTCAAAAATCTGTTTAGTTATTTACCAGAGCAAAGTTTACTTGCAGGCTCGACTAATATCTAATCTACTATAGGATTTAATGTAATGAGTTAAGAAACAGGCATACACCAATTATACTCGTATTACTGACATCAAACTATACTACAAATAATTAGAGCTTGCAAACTAGGAGAAAAAGGATTTTTAGTAATTATATCTAACAACCCCATTGCATACAGTATACCCTGTCAGGTACGTGACAGGTGCCTGTCAGGACGCGTGGAAGTCGTCCACGCGGTTTTGGCCAGAAACCGTCATGATTAATTCTTGAATTCGTCACGATAGGCTAACTGACCTTTTTTTTACCTGTATTCATTTTCACCTATCATCACTCACTAGTGCCCTGCCAATGTACAGCGATAGGCGGGGTTACTGTTCCATTTTCAACCATTAAAAGAAAAGCTTTCAAACTAGTTTGAATACACAATATACTTAAGTATAACCTAAAACAATAAGTACAGATAAAGTATTTCTGAAATGTAATATGTATCAATCTTAGATTATATAGATAGAGCTTCGACTGTTAAAAACGGATCAACTTTTTGTCAAATAATTGTCAAATTAGCTGACTCCTTTATTTATTAAAGTTCTATATACCTACGCACACAATTTATCTTGAAGTGTCTATATTTAATTACTTAATAAATAAAATAAGTCTTTAGGAATTAAAAACACACAAAAAAATATAAGACAAAATAAATATAGAAGTTATAAAGGAATCAGTCATAACTATTTATAACGCAAAATTCTATGAAAAATTTGACCCGCTTTTCTCATAGCATTTGTATGAAGACACTCGATCTATATAATCTAATGTGTTAATGTATTACGGAAAAAATCCAGTTTATCCATTCATGAACTGAACATTATTCCCTAAAGACTTTTTTTTAATTGTAATAACAAATTTACTGCGCCATTTATATATATGTAGATGAGTCTCTAGGTATTTTTAATATACGTGTATATAAATATAAGATAGAACTGTAAACAAGGTGATGGGAAATAGTAACCATCGCCTACACACAAACGGAACCATAGACATTATAGAATCTACAGTAACGCCTACATCATACGTTAATAAGTTGCCATTTCTGAGGGCGTTATGCCTCCATGCCAAGTAAACTAGGGAAAGGGATTGTTAGTAAGCTATTGTTAGTAAAGTAATTGGGATTGTCAGGTCGACCTCCACGTGGGCTGCCCTAGAAACCATCGTGCTGAATATCATTTTAACTCATCACGATGAGATAACTGACCTGTCTTTTTATTCTTACCATTATCAGCATTCCTCACTGGCGCCCACCTAGCGTATACCGTTAGCGCAAGCAGGGTTACAATTCCATTATCATCCATTAAAAAAAAATACAACACAAAAGAGCGAAAGTGCTTGGCGACAGAATCACAAGTGAGACAGAAGACCCCATTAGATCGATTAGTTTAATCCCTATGACACACCCCACTTGATAATTGTTATTTCCTTTCTGTTACATTCTCTTTATGATTTGACTAAACACCGTTATTTGGCCGCTTTTCTCTTATATCTTTAATGTATGTTGTTAACGCATTTATATTCGTGGAATCATGCGTTTATACGCACGCATCGTTTTTCATACGCCTTAGAACAACACAACAGGCGCCAACGACCTTGTTGTTCTGAAGAATTAAAGAACGAATTTAATTCGTTTTTTAATTTTTTTTTTTTATTGTCTGTTAGGTATGTATTTTCAAACTTAGATTGTGGAACACAATTCGAATACAGAATATAAATTCAGTAAGTATAAAATACACAATGTCGATAGCCTATAAAATTAATAAGGACACATCGACAACATATACCAGAACACACCAAACTACGGCCCGCAACATAAATGTTTGTATGGTCCGCTAAATTACTTTATATTACGAAAATTTTTTACATATTGAAAGAAAATCACCTTCTGCATATAACGCTATTTTGTTTGACAGTCTTTATAATTTTTTCGACATAAACTATATATTTTCCCAAATCGAAATTCAATTATTTGTTTCTTTCTTTCAGATACTAATGTTTATCCATAGATTAGGTACTCGTATATAAAATTAAATTGATTTAGTTTTTTCTTAAGATTTTTATATTTATAAGTGTTGGGAATTTTATTCAAGTTTTATTTTATTGTTAAATTATCCCATTAATTTAACAATAAAATATTTTAGATTATTATTTCTATTAATATTTCATATGTGGTATAAGAATAATAGTGCTTGTGACTTTATTAACCTTTTCTGTGATTTTATAATATATCTTAGAAAATTTTGTTTTGGAAAAAATATTTTTAAATAGGTACATTTCATCGTCATCAAAATATCAGCAAACATATAAATAATTGCAAGTACCGTCACTCTATTTAGGAATACATATTAAATGTATAGATTGAACTAATCTATTCCTTCTATACCTACTTATAGACTAATAATATTTATTCTACAATCCTAAAGTTGCATAAAAGTTAAAGCCCCGTAGATGAGTGGCAAACAAATCTTTCGATGAAATCGTTATCGCTAGCGAAACCATGAGATAGAATGAGATAGCAACATCCGATATTTACTGACACCTTATAAACGCGCTAGTGACTAATTTAATAGAATTATATTATCTATGCTAGTGATAACAAGTCCATCAATAGGTTCATTTGCCACTTGCCTTGGAAGCGGCCCGTAATCGTCTACAGTTGAACAGCCCTGAACTGTACAACTTTGAAGCGTACGATGTCAAGACCTGCGCGCTGTGGTTTCCGCTGTTATTTCCTATTTTTACAAGTACCTGATGGGAAGGTTTATTCCGATATAAATAATGGCGTTGCTTTGTCATAATTTATTACTCTGATTGTTAGTTATTATTAATTTGTACTATGCAAATGGGCACTAATAGAAGTTTAAATTATTACCGTAAATTGACCATCTTAATTGGAAAAATTATGATTTAGGTAATATTTTATTTATTATGCATGTAACAAATCTATACTTTTCTATCTATAAGAAACTTGGACTTTAAATTTAACAAAAATTTGTATGTAATCAATATGGCAGAAACTATCTCGATTATATTTTTTGGTCATAAAAATTGATTAATAATTGAAGAAAAATTTATTTATTGATACTTTATTATACACACTGATAGTACATAAAAATATGACAGAGGTAAGTAAACACATTAAGGCGAGCTCAACTCTAAAAGAGTTCTCTTCCAGCAAACCCAAAGTGCAAAGGAGCATCAATGTCAGCGTTGTACAATATTGTTACAATTTTCAAACATAAAGAACTAGGCAAACTTAAGTTTATACATAATTAATTATATAATATTTAATCGTATATATACACACATACATATATACAAATAAATAAATACATGTTCATAAAGATATAAGATGATTTTCTCTTAAAAATATTCAGGGATTGACTCCCACGGATCGGCATGGGAAGAGAATTCCGCAATCTAGCAGTATGGACGATAAAGGATCCGCTATAGAGCGTAGTCGACTGTGAAGGGATTTTGAGATTAAGATTAAGAGAAATAAGAGATTTTGTTGAAAGAGAGTTTGCGCCATGAAGAACTAGGAAATAAAATCATTCACGAAGATAGTACGGTGAAGAAGGGTTATATAGAACGGAATATAAAAACGAATGAAAATCTCGACGCCTTCGATTTGATAGTCATTTCAATTTTGTTCTATAAGCGGAGACATGGTCGTATTTATACAGATTATAAATAAAAGATGTCCGGTATGCGAATTAAAAATCTTCTCCGTTCTGATATAGCTAAAGAATTATTACATTTGTTTTGTATTTTCCTTTAAAATTGAAAATAGCTAAAGTAAATTTATTAGTTTTTAATATTTATGTCATAAATATGACACCCACATTTTAAGACTGGCCTTTTTTTTTTTGTTTTATTAAAATGTCATTGGCAACAAGCAGCATTTGAATTTTAAAGTAAAGTGCACGTTTCGCCGACATACCTATTACATACCTACTCGTGTGACAAACGTAATGTTTAATGGTGTGTTGTATTATTCATTTCAGCCACACTCAAAGCTATATATATTTTTGCTCTTATGACGTTGTACATAAAGGATATTATTATACAACACAATCATACAATAAGAAACGAACGCGATAGTTTGGAAACAATGAATTTTCAACATTTGGACAAAACAGATTTGTAATTAAAAGTTCATTTACCTTGTGAAGAAGTATGCTGCCAATATAGACAGCCAAACGTCATTTTCCAAGACCGTCAGGAATTTGAATAGAGATGTTGGCGTTCTTGGCAACTTCATCATAATTGTGATACCGACTAAATCGTAATATGGCACAGTGAAGTCCACCACGTTTTCCCTCTCCGCCATCACAGACAAAGATGTCAGTCCTATATCCGCCCTCTTTTCTATAAGCTCCTTTATAATACCATTCCATTTGCCATTCTCATCCATCGTGCCAAAATTACCATCAGGAGACAAAACTATTTCGTAATCAAATTTTACAATTTGTCGTATCTCCTCGATTAAGTCGATGCAATAGCCTTTGAAGCCTTTTGGGGCATCATCGTCTCTAATAATGAATGGTTGTTGCTAGAAAAATGTATAAATACATAAACAAAAAAGATCTCTGCTGTGGCATTTGTACTGCAAACTAAATCATTTTATACATAATCATTGTTTGAGTAAAATAGAAGATTAGTTTGTGCATGCGTTGCACAGAAAAGAGTACAAATTCCGTTATACGAACAAGTTCCAACTAATTGTATACTATAAATATAACAATCCATTATCATCTCATTAGTGGGCAAGGTGTCGTCGAAAATAATGTATACTATTGTCGCGCTAGCCAGACAGCTCGGTTTAGGGATTATTTAAATATTTTTTCCCTTCTACTAATGGCAAAGTGTAATGACTCATTGTATTCTTCCTCCGTCACCACAAAGATAAACACACTAATTGTATATTCAGTTGTAATAGAGAAACAGCTGGTAAAATTTTAAAACAAATTTGAAACAAAAACAAGTTCATTAACCCACCTCCACTGTCACGACTCTGTACACAAGTTGAGCAGAATAATCGCTCATATTATCAGGGTCAGTCAAGGACAAAGGGTTTGCGAGACCTGCTTTCCATGATCCGAGTGACCGACTGCCTATAGAGGCACCATCTTTCACTGAAACTGCTGAGAGATCAGTATTGAATTCCATGTAACTTCTGCCATTCATTGGATCGTCTTCAGGGATATAGAAAGGTGCATATGTAGGTGTTTCTTTTACCTGAAAAAGCAGAGGAACGGTATCCCGTTAATTACTAAATTGATATTATAGATATTTTCTAAAAACAACTATAGCGGTTTAAATATGTCATCGCACCTCTTGGAAAGCGGTTCTGAGGTCCAAGGTCCTGTTAGGAGTATTCTTACCGTCGTAATCGTCACACGTGATATATTTCATGTCATTTGGCCACTTGCCAGAATCCAGGAGCGATCTGGAAAATCATAAGCGTGAAATCCATGGAATATAACCAAACTATAATTAGATATGCCTTGCACGCGTTATACTAAATTTAATATAGTTGTACTTAGGTGCACTAGCACTAGAACAGTAAAGGTCAATTACTTTATAGCTAAAAATGTACGTAGGGACAAGTCGAAATAGAAGGCCGACGTAATTTCTGGTTCACCGTTCATGCTGTACGTTGTTTTGATCTTTCCCAAACGATCTCTGCTTTTTGCGTCAGGCGTCGGTCTCATATAAACGATAGTGGCATCTTTACATCCGCAGCTAATGTCACCTTTGTCCAACGACAACGCGAACCAAGCTGTTTTTCTACCGAAATACTGATTTTCATCCGCCGCGTCCAACACGTTTTTTACTGTCCTCAAACTGCCCACGATGAAGAAGTTAACAATGTCTAATTCCCGTAAACTTCTTAATTGATTTTTTATATCGTCTTTATTAAAACTTTTTACCGGTGTTATTACATGACGTGTAGGAACGTTTTGCAATAGAGATTTGTACTTGTGATCCATAACTGAAAATGAATACAATAACATTATACTTCTAAATATCAAAACATAATAATATTGTTTGAACTAAATAACACCCACCAAATAGTTCGTCAAATATTATAGCTGCATTGGTGATGTCCTGTTTAATGACAATTGCTCTTATAGCCTCTGGCAGAATGTCAGCAGGAGGCATTATTTGTAGCAGAAACTTCGTTTGGTTCTGATTGAGGGAACGCCACTGTCGTAAGTCGCCCGCTTGACCGAATGATCCCGAAATAGTTGGGAGGGCCAATGCTGCAGTAAACGACTTTATAGTTTCTGAACCAACCCCAGTCATAGTGAAATCTAGGACAACGTGCGGCGTCTTCTTACTTATTACCATGTCATTGTATTTCCTACAAACTATCAACAGTCAATTACATATTATAAGTAATTACATTATCTCATTTTAACAATTGTAATAATATTTACCATTTTCCAGAAAGTTCTTGGCGTCTGTTCGGTTTCCTACCACAATGACCGGGTCTACCGCCAGACCCAAGCTGGGATTCCGCCTCACATACTCTTTAGCGACTTCAAACGCTTTTTCGGCTAAAGCATTATTTTCCTCGTTGATCAGCACTGGAAACAGAATGTTATTACTAAAACTAAAACACAAGTCATATTTATCTCAGTATGGAAAATGTAGGTAAATATTTTACGAACAAACGTTTATATTTTGCGTCGTTTGAGTAATAGATAAACGAACTAGCGAAAATAGAATTATCGCCGTGAATATGGCCGGCATATCTCCGAGTTTTTTTAACATTGGCTAAAGTTTAAGACGTTCCATTGACCGGCGATTACTTTGAAGGGTAGTTCACTAATAAGGCTAACTTTGGCCCACATAAGCCAACTGTGTACTGTCTTGTTACCACGGCGATGTCCGGCCTTGATTCGTTCTTCGTTATTGATGCTCATCGCTCATTACTAATAATGTTTGTACACACATGCAATGTGGGCGTGTGTCAACGATTTATCGTTATATAAATGTAGAGGTATGTACCACAGGTGATATTCACTCGTATGGCCGTACATGTACCACGGATCGATTAATGTTGCCATTGGATGGAGACTCAAAATCGTAGTATAATTAAAGACATTTTATCATTTATATCAGCCGTTAATTGTTCACTGCTGTACATAAGTTCTTACGGGTATAAGGGGAGTTTTGCCAGTACTCGCCATTCTCAGCAGGCGGGTTGGCAACCGTAGTTAGGCTTTTGGTGATATTTTACAAGCGACGCTGCTGCCTATCCCTCGACCACTCAGTTCGCTTAGTCGCCTCATACGACATCCATAGGAAAGAACCTTATTAAATCTACTTGTTTATAATTTCATTCCTCCATTATAACTGGCTAAAAGGTAGAGAGAGAGGCAGATTAATATTTTAGATCATATAATTGTGCTCGAGGTCGCAAAAGCATTGGTAATTTAAATTGCGGGTAGATTTCAGTTATAACGCACTTCTATCTAATATGAAAATTTCTAGCACCGCACCGGTAAAAATAGTAAAAGTCCAATTACAATTCTGTATGTACGATCATCAAAACGGTTTTAATAGCGACAATAATAACCGCAACAAATCAAATCTCACCGCAAAAATGCGTGGCACAAACCCGTTATAACATATTACATGTTTCCCGCTGCATCGCCAGAGCGAAATCGTTATCACATGTTCCCTTGAGAAGGTCCATGCGGTCCGTGAAAAAATTTAATTTAACTATTATTGTTATTATAATGTGTAAAATAATTGTATATAGGATTAATATTGCAACAAAGTTTTTATGGTTCCAATAAATGGTATGTTTTTAAAATGTTTTTGTTTATATTTATGTATCGTATACTATTATAAATACTTAAATGCAAGTACAAAAATAGTGTATGCATATGTTTTATTAACATTAGCGTTTTCCTTTTTTTATTAGTTACACTTCTAGCGCCAAATAGCTACCCGTCTTTTTCTTGCTCCTTTACCCAAAGGTTGTCCGAGATTGTTTTAGCGATAAAACCACCTTTTGTAACTCATAAGTGTAATATATATTGTCTTTGTATTATTTTTTAAGTGGTGCAATAAAGAGTAAATCAATAAATAGCTGTCTACTCAAAAAAGGGAAGAGATTGTTTGGCAAGAATAACAGGCGGCCGTTACTAGCCATAGACTTGGTAAGTCAACGTCCAAACGATCTACTAAGAAAATCATCATAGTTAATTTATAATGAATTTGTCACATTGAGCGTTCAACTTCACCTTCAAGACTTACCAGGTAAAGTTAGGTCGGCCCTGAAATTTAGATATCTCAAATAAAGCTACATTTTTATAATATTAAAAAAAATATTATTAAACTTGCATTATTGGAAACCTTAAAATATATTAGGTAGGGTGAAAAAATTACCATCAACAGTTCTATCTGGGAGAATTCGAACCCGTATCTCTGTTATTCGTTTTGAGACACCGGTACGAATTTTAACAGACCAAACTACAGAGAAGTAAATGTTTTTAACTACATAATGACACAGTTAATAAAATTCTATACTAGTAATAATGTCCTATGTACCAGTAGAACAAACAAACTGTACTCTATTACAGTATTGTACAAAACATATTTATCAAAATATGCAATTACTTAACTAATGTTTATTATACTGATTGACCGGCCCAACGTCAGATGTCAATCAATATTATGATAGTGATAGCAGTCTATGTCATTATCAATATTATCTATGCTATAAATAACTAAGAGTACAAGATTGGGGTAAGGAATTGTTAGTAATACGGACTATCAGTCCCATTACTAGGGGGGAAAGGGATTGTTAGTAATGGATTGAGAATCCCATTACTAGCAATATACCAACCAGGTCGACCTTGGTTCTCCTTGGAAACTATCATGGTTAATTCCTGATGAATTCATCATGATGGGCTAACTGGCCTGTTTTCATTCTCATCTATCACCCTTCTCTGGTGCTCCGCTAGCGTATCCCGTTAGCGCAGGCGGGGTTACCATACCATTTTCACTCATCAAAAAAAAACCAGTCCCATTACTAGCAAAATACCCTGGTCAACTCCCCATGTAACCTACATGGGGAGTTCCCGTGGCCCCCTGGGAATCATCGTGCTGAATTCCAGGCGTATTCATCAGGATGAGCTAACTGACCTGGCCTTTCATTCTCACTTATCATCTCTCACTGGTGTCTCGCCAACGAATACCGTTAGCGTGGGCGGGGTTGCCATTCCATTATCATTTATAAAAAAAAAACTACACTTTAACACTAGTGACGTGCTTACAAGTGATTTTCATTAAAAATATTTTCTGATGAAAAACAATCGTAGTTGCATGCCATCAAGCACTGTATTGAGAGGGGAAAAAAGGATTCTTAATAATGGTATCTAACAGCCACATTACTAGCAATATATCAGGTCGACCTCCACACGGTTCACGCCGAAAACCATCATGGTTAATTCTTGTTACAATTCCTTACGATGAGCCAACTGACCTGCTTTCATCTCGCCTGTTATCGCTCACTGGTGCTCATTCAGTGTACACGGATAGTACTGGCGAAGTTATTTTTATTATTACCAGTTTTGCCCCTTACATTATATAGTGTAGTGTTCATGAATGCACCTATATGCTTAAATGGTTTTCAAAAATAGTAACTTACCCTTATCTGTTTAATAAGAGAATGTGACTAAAAGAATACTAACAAAACTTTATATATCTATATTTACTAAGTAATCCAAGTTAAATCTTGAAGTAATAAGTTATACTACGTACACGATTTAATCGGAATCGGTGTAGTAAATACACTTGGTATAATACACGATAACGCTCGACTTGTTTATAGTAAGTATGAAGTCATGTAAAATGTAAGTAGTCTTTGAATTGCAATTGTTTACAAAAAAAAAAGAAACTAGGTGTTCGTATAAATCGCGTTCGCCCAATCTCATTGTTGTTGCTAAAATTACTATCATACAATAACCAATGCGCCAATCTGGTACTATAATACAAATTTTATACTTAACTTACAAGACCAGTAACCTTATCTTCAATGCACAAAAAATTGGCAGATAACTTGAACAATAAAAAATATTTCACGGAAAATTTGAACTCTGTACAACTTCTATTTACATAATCAAATAAACCTATCAATGTATATTATATATATTTAAAATAAAAATCAAAAAGTTGATTGGACTATTTTATTGCCAGAAATGTTTTACAAACACTAACTCCACAGGTGAGAGAAGTAAAGTGTTAAAACTGTACACGCTACTATAAATCTAATACTAAATGTATTTTCAAATTCAAGAATCAAAATTTAAAAACTGAATCACCAGATTTACAGTTTATGAAAAAGTTAGTTAAAATCTTAACATTACAAATAATCCCTAGCGATGGAACACAAGGTGTTAAAATATTTAAATGAATTTAAAGAAAAAATATAAACCATAAGTATGTTATCTTACATTCGAGGTTTGTTAACTATCACATACAAATGAAAATAAATTAGAAAAACAGGATACAAGAAAAATAAAAATGTCCATAGGAATACAAAAATAGCACGCTGAAGTAATATTTATGTCAATATGAACTATCACCTTGTCAACTTTGAACTTCAATTAATTTTCAATCTTAAAATTAGTGTCACAATGTGAACAGTCGAAATATAAGTAAATGGCCCTCTGTGAGTAGGAATACTAAACAATAATAGCTTAAAACTGTTGTAACAACATTTATATAGATCCCACCTCAACTAAGCGCTCAAAGTAATGAAGGACCCATTAGTTAAATGGGTTCAGTTAACTAGAGAGTACCCATTTTTGAAATCGTCAGAAACTTCTAGAACCTGGACGTGGAAAGATAAATATGTAACCGCTGATTTCGAGAAATTAAAGGGACCAACAGCAAGTTTAACAGATCGAATTAATTTGTTAAAAGCCTTCTATCTATCGTATTTTGGTGAAATATCCACATTATCTTATATATATCCAACCTAGGTAGTTTATTTGTACAAATTGTTGCAAGTACTCCTCATATATCTGAAAACAACCCGGATGATCTCATAAAATTCTCAACAACAGGGAACAAAATCCTCTCCAAGTATGTGTTTCCCCCAAACTTAGAGGTCTATAACAGATTCTTAAAAGGGGGTGAGACTGATGAATCCTCCAACTTTGAGGTTGAGATAGAGGACACACCAAGAAAGCCTGCAGCTGGGGGGCTGGTTGATGATGAAACAGTACCTACTGTGGCCTCTATTGAGGTAAGTAGACCCAAGCCGACTCTAAAGGAGATCACAAGAGCTGATGTCATCGCATTTAAACAGGCGGTCAGCTACGGAACCACCGCCCCTCTGTGAATAGAACGGAATTTTAAAATGTAAAGTTAGGTACTATCGTTGTATAATGGTCAAGATAAACTTCCACTCGACCCACAAAGTAACCTTTCTTGTTCACAATGCAAGCCATAACCAAATGTCAAAGGAATGTTTAAATGGTTAAGTAATAATGCCTATGTAATATATCAATGTGCGATAATTAACTGCTAACTTAAATTTACAACTGAATTATTTATCTAAACATTTTAATTAATCTTAGTTTATCTATAATCCTTGTTTTTCGGAAGCTGTTTATAAAAATCGCGTCGTTCACAGAACGGATTGTGAATTGATTTCACTCGGGGTGAATACTTTGGCAGTATGTTATTACTGGCAAAATTATGTTATCCAAAACAGATACATATATTATTATGTAAACTTCCATCAATTCAATAACCCATCTCTACAGGTCTGTTGAAATAGACACCAATACGCAAAAACAGCATACAACACCTAAACCGACTGTGTTGGTCGGTTCACTGCGATGCACATCCCAGTCACAACTGACAGTTACATTAAATTTACAATTTACAGGTACTTCACAGGTAAGTTTAATACACAATGTATTATAAACCTAAACTTAATTGTGGTCACAAAAGGGCTCAACTCACTATATAATCAGATCATATACATGTATGTATAAATATAAATCTATGGTTTTTGGCTTTGTGTGAACGGTACCTATAATAGGATATGTATAATCGGGGAGAGTTGAGCCCTAATGAACATTGATGCATTGCAGTAAACCAAGCTTAATAAGAGAAACAAGGTTTTAGGCTGCAGCCTCCTCTGCTTCTGCCGGTGGAGCTTCCTCTGCCACTTTCGCTTTCTTTTCAGGTGTGGTCTTCTCAGTAGCGTCACCGTTATCTGCTGCTACAGATTTCCTCTTCACACCAGCCTTTTCTGTAAAGTAATAATTATAATTTTATTAGTGTGTTTGTTTTATTATTGCATTTACATAACTTGACTTTTAACATGACCTTAACCTAGCTGTTCAATAACAGACTGGTTTTACTACATATTAGAGATGTTAATAATCAATATATTATTTCTACACATTTTCTGGTCATATTATTAATCATTAATTAAAGTACTTGATCAATGAAATAAAAAAATTTTATATTATTGATATGAAGTCTAATTAACTATCAATGTTCACACGATGGAAAACAAATTAATGAGTAGATAGTGTTTAAAAGGACAAGATGATGTACAGTAAGAAGTAGATGTTGCCATCTCACTGTGTCTTGGGTTGTTTGGACCTTGCTACACAAGATCTACACATTATGAAATGCCTTCTACAAGCACTAAGTTTATAATAAAGGACAATGAGGGTCTGGTTCCTTATAAGAAAAAAATAAATAGAAAAAATCACCACTGTACTTACCCGTGGCATCACCATTCTCTGTGGCATCGTTGCTCTCTTCTGCATCACCATTCTCTGCTGGGGTACCCACTGGAGCATCTCCGCTGCCATTTTCCTCTTTGCCATTGCTTTCTGGTGCTTCAGCAACCTTTTTCAATGGGGACTTCTTGACTGGAGATTCTTTCACCTCGGTGGATGACACTTCCTCGGGTACGGCATCCCTTGAAAGAGTAGTATATTATTATTAAAGTATAAAAATAGTTACTCTTGAAACATTAGGCTAGAAGAAAATATGAATCCGTAAACAATTTGTTGATAACAGATAATGAAATACTTGGTAAGTACTTCTGTCATTTTATACTGTATACATACACATCACGTAATGCTCACTTGAGTAGTTAGTGACGGAGTATAACAAAACAATACGTTACGACTTTATGTTGTGAACGCTCGCCGGTTATGTGGGGCGGTGTAAAAGGAAAAGTCTGCCGGAACAAAAACAAGTGTTGCGCAAGGCTGCATGTGGGAAAGTTGCAACATAGGAAACCGATCGTACGAAATATTAGCAATCAGAATTATTATTGAATGAATACGTTACTCGCTCCAGTGGAACGCGTCACGGAATAAGCCGTAAGCGTTAAAAATAAAATAATGACAACATACGGCCCTCGCGATAATATAACCGACTTTGCTACCAGTCCAGTGTTGCAAAACACGACTCTCGACGATTTGGTTTTGAATCGAGCGCGCGCCGGTGACGCTGCCGCGCCGGCACGCCGCGCATGCAACGCCATCTTGGACGAAGCGAGGGGCGCGAGGCCCTCGCCCGCCGCCCGGCGTGCTTACAACTTCGCCATATTATTTTAATACACGAAACCACGCAATTATATTACTTCCTAACAATTCTACAGTTTTTTCTCTATCACATACAATTAACTTCAATCAGTTTAATCACATACGTCGTATAACTATCACATTATCAATAGAATAATATTTTCCCGCGTGTACTCCGGGAAGTTAGCGTCCAAGAAAATAACCATCACTTTATATTATTATTTAGCAAAACACTGTTGCAACACGAACTAAACATGCCAAATAAACTAATTTTGATAAGAAAATAGTCCAAAATACCGTAAATTACTTAAAAACACCAATTTACACAGTTAAATAGGAAGCCATTTTGATCACGTTTTCCGAAGCCGCCAAAAAATAAAAATCACAAAACTTTTAAATACTGACAGAAATATATGAAAAAGACTTACTTCTTTTCGACGGCTGCGTCTGCCATTATTATTTTTTAGTTTAAAAGGAAAGCTTGTAATTAATTTATAGCACGTGTCACGTTCTACGTACACCAATGCTCACGGTACAAACACCGACGACAAAATGAAGGAGGAAGAAGGAAAAACTATATGCGCGTCGCCTCGTGGCCCTCGTACGGCACTGCGCACCTGAACTGAAGTTTTAGCACAAACTTCACTTCATAGAAATAGCACTATATGAAATCGCTAAGTTAAAAAGAGATAAATATATTTTATGAATTAACTTCAAATAACCTTGAATTTACGTAAAACGAGGTAGGGTAGGGAGGCCATAATCTACCTTGCTCTGTCGGTCTTGTTTGAAAAATACAATCGTTAAAATGTTGATTGCGAGAGGAAATTCTGGAAATTATTTTTATACATTAGTATAGGTATTTTAAAAGTATTATATTAAGCAAACAATAATAATAATTTTTTGGGTGTATGTTCTTACAATCCAATTATAACTTATTTCTTATAACTAAGCGTAGTACTTTGTGCATACGAGGTAGGTATTAAAGAAGTTTACTTTGTACTTTGTAGACGAAGAATATTCTATTTTAACCTTTATGAGCTAAGAAATAAGATAAATATTAACCAATTATGTGGGTACTTATTTTTTAACCCCAGTCAATACATATTTTTATTTTCATTAGAATTAGATAGATGCAATAAGAGTAACACAAATTTATTTATAACCTATTTTATAAAAAAGGAAGTTCTCATTTCGATTACGTGGGTAGATATTATATTTTTAAATTATAAGTAACATATAAGTAAATTTAAAAAATATTTTTATATTTGCTACGATCACATACATCTATAATGTAAGATGATACTTTAGGATAATACTTAACAAAATAATCAACAAAACATAATAGGTAGGTATTATAAGTACCTACTTTATACTGTTCTTATTCTCTATTATATTTTTCTGTGGAATACTTATACACAATTATACTTATTTAAAGATATTTTGTTAGAAATTATTATATACTTAACCATTCTTAAGAAAAAACATTCGTCCTACATTTTCATGCCGTATTTGTTGTCATTATTTGTAATTTTTAAATAGGTTTAACATCTTAAAAAAAAATTTCAAAGGATAAATATCGAACAATAGACAAACTTTTTTCGGTACAGTAGCGATAAATAGGATTATTGCACTCAAAACTAAATGTATGGTCACATTAAGGGACCTGAGGGTATTGTTCATGTCTATAGGCGACGGCTACCACTTTTCATCAGGTGGGCCGGCAGTTTGTTTGCCACTCTAAGTTGCATAAAATACCTACTTATTTGCTTCTATACAAAAATCTAAAATGGAATTAAAAAGATTGATACTTAGGTAGAGATTAAAATCATTTGCGTAAATACGTAAGATAGATACAAAAATTCTAGATTTTGAAATAAAATTACGCACAAGTTGCAGGTACTGCGCGCCAAGCATTATAGCACCGTGCGGGTGACAGGTCGTTAAACCCATAGAAAAAACAATTAGGTAGGTACCTACTATAAAACGGATCCTTATTGAATCTGTTTTAGTATTTTTTTTTTTTTTATATTTCTTTTCTATTGTTATATTTTTATGCTTCATAACTTCGTTAGTTCGACACTGATTTGGAATTTATTTTTTTATTTGTAATGATATTCTACGTGCGATAAGTATATAATTACAAATTGGCCATATAATGTTTTTATTAAAATCAGTTTAGTAGTTGTTAAATTAAAATAACTGGTTTTGTTATAATTGAAATGGTTTTTTTTTTTGTGGAATGCAATCTTTAATTATTAACATTTGACCGTGATAATGTATTAACTAATTAGGCACCTAATTCTATTTTAGTAGAAACTATCAAAATATCAGTTTAGATTTTTGGATCAAATTTGAATTTCCATGAACACAGCAAAATGACAATAACAAAACTATCTTGTAATTGGTGCTTTAAGTCTACTAATAGGTAGGTAGATACCACTTTGTGCAAAGTTCAATATCCGATAGCCTTATTTATTTTAGGAATACTTAATTGTATTTTATATAGCTGTAAATAGGTATTATAATTAACAATGTCGCACTAATATGTTAGTGACACGACCTTGAAGGCTTGGACTGTTAAATAGATATATCAACTTACCTACCAGTTAGCATTTATAACTATTAATATTATGCCCTAAAACTGACTGAGGTAATTTAAAACCACAATTTACGTCCGGTAAATAATTAGAACAAGAATAAAATTAAATATCTAAGTAAATTAAAAGCAGACTGCCCGTTAAATTTTCCACCAAAACGAATAAGCACGAATCGTACATCTCTTGAGCCAGTCATCAGTGCAAGCGGTTTTTGTGTCGTATATCAGCAAAGACAACATTGAAATTTCAACCTTACGCATTTGTCATTAAATGCCTTTCAGCTCTTAGTCAATACCTAACGCATAACGTGCTAGTGTAGGTCGTTGGCTTTTGAAAGAAATCTTGGCAGTAGTCGTTGATTTCGTAAGAATATTGAGTTCGTCAACCAGAACACCGTGCTCTTTGGTATACCTTTTATATATAGCTACATGTATCGTGCTCTTCATTTCTGCACAAATTGTCAGTACATAATTTTCAAGTAGGCATTAGTGTACTGGAAAATTGTACACTGGAATAAGTAGTTCTGAACTAAGATATGAAGCCAGTGGTAGTTGCAAGTGGAATGGATTAGTGTAAACAAGCATTTGATGGAACTGAAGTACACCACACTATTGCAAATATACATATTCAAACTTTTTTAGTAAAAACAATATTTATCAAATACGATTCAAAATAGAAAAGGATAGGAATTGCACTCAGTATAAAATTTTTAAATTCCATAAACTGGTTTATAAAAATATTTATTTTTTTAAACCAGTATATACTTTGTGGTATAAAAATAAAAGTAATGCGGGTCTAAACATTATTGCATTCGGTGTGTATGTAAAAAATTATGATTCTATTATTGAAAGTAACAGATACAGTAGGTAATATTCTCCACATAGTAATCTTCATTTTTAGGCAATTTAGTAACACTATGTAATTGCAAAGTGTATACCTACATAACTCCCTTATTACTCCTGATCGACTTTTGGGGGGAAGGGGATTGTTAGTAATGAAGACTGAGAATCCCATTGCTAGCAATATACCCAACCAGGTCGACCTCCACGCGGTTCCCCCTGGAAACTATCATGGTTAATCCCTGATGAATTCATCATGATGGGTTAACTGGCCTGTTTTCATTCTCATCGATCACCCTTCACTGGTCCCCTGCCAGCATATACCGTTAATGCAGGTGGGGCTGCCATTTCATTTTCATCCATAAAAAAAAAATCTCCTGATCGGACTAATGATTAGGGCAACCATTCATAATATTTTTTTCCTGGACATAATAAAAACAACTTGTAATTTTTTATTGATTTTTTTATATTCTAATCCTTTTTTTTATTTTTGCAAACATGTCGTTATTAATATAATATTATTATAATACGTCTGTTATGTTTCATTATAACAAATAATTTATATCCAAGTATGAGCTCATACATATACGGTTATCGAACTTTTCGCGGTTTACCGATTTCACAGTGTTAGAATAACACATAAAAATATCTAGATAGGTTTATATGTGATTTTATAACTTATATTATACTTATTTTTATTTAAACTTATTTTTTTGTACTCTTCATTCAATTCATAAAAGAATCATTTAAATATGTAATATACTAACAGAGATGTTACATGCCAATACATAAACTATACCAATAGAAATAGATATCAATAGAATTAACAAAATACTAGCGATTTGCCGCGACTTTGCATGATAAAATAGAAAGTTAAATTAGTAATTTATATTAGCTTCAATAAGGTAAAATTTTTATATTGTGGTTATAATTTACGTAAGGTTCTTTAATTTTTTAACAATAATACATACCTTATGTTACTCGCTGATAATGTAGCTTTTTATAGATGAAATTTTTTTAAAATCAGTTGATAATTTTTAAAGGTTTTTAGTTTATGCATTACAAACAAACATATAGAAAATTTGAACTTTTTTTAAAGTTTGTTTTTACAAATAAAACCTTCTTTTACCTATAGTTTCTCTATTATTCTATCACAGGTCTTTCTGTTATTATGAAATGTGATATCAAGCATAGTTTAAAACTATGCCTAGGGATCATTCTGAATAACAATATATAACGTTGACTTTAACTTCACATTTTGAAAGTTGGTTATAGTGCAGTTTTATATATTTAATATTCTTGAGGGAAGCTTTCAGCTAATTATAAGCTTATTCTTTAGTTGTAAACGGTTAGGTTATAGAATGAACTCCCTATGAAAAATTTTAGGATTCTTTAAAAAGTGCTTTAAAATTCTTCTTCTGGGTCGAATGGTGTTCATTGGTTATAGAAGAGATTATACTTATAGTCTTTAGTTTCAGTAACTATTTACTACGAGTATGAACAACATGTGAACTACGCTTGACTGTCATCGTTGTTGTACAAAAAGTTTATTGATTCTAGAAACTTCGAATTTAGTCCGTTATAGTTTCCACGTTGTTCTGAGGCTACTTATAACACCTTCGCTTCTAAGAAAGATTGTTTGGAAAGTAACAAGGGATCGGGATCAGGTTGTATCCGAAAATTTCTTCTAATAATTTAGTAAATTAATAATAATATTCCTAAACTGTGTTAATTAAAACTTTATTCTGTAACTAACTTTTTGCCTGCTACTTTGTACGCATATTTCAGAAGTAAGAAAATCAATAATATAGGCCACTTTTAAATAAAATATACACCAAATTTTAAGTTAGACTATTAGATATACAACTGCGAAAACCGCATTCGATTTGGTTCAGTATTTTTACGTGATGCCGGAATATACAGAATGGCAGCTAGGCAGGTAGAAAAAAATTCTTAAAATTATTATTTTGACATTTATTTGTCTTATTAAGACCTCTCATATTATAATTTTTTTAAATATCTCCCATGCTCGGACCTGGTTTAGTTACAATTTTATTATATTATTAAAATTAACTAGGTCATGGGTATAGTAGTGTAATTAAAATACATTTTATTTTTATGGGAATACTAACACATGTTTACGCCGCTAGGATAATATTTATATTTATAAATGAAGATATATAGACAGGGTATCGATCGTGAGTTACGACGGGACGTAGAAGGACGTAAAATAATGAGTTTCCCGCGTAAGGCCTGACAAATAGAAGTATAATTATCTGCTGTACTGCTTCTATGATCTTTATAAATTATCTTATTATATATATTGTTTAATGTTATGTAAATACTTTTAATAGGCACTTCTTCATTCATAAAATGTTTTAATGCTATAAATGCATTTTATTTTACAACATATTGGATAAAATTTGTAAATTCAGCTTATTGTAAATAGCTGTTGCTTTTTGAAATTGATCCAAACAAGATTAGTTCATTCAACCTAAGATTTTTATCGTCGCTATTTAGAGTTTCTCAGCGATGTTAAATTATCGTCATTGTGTGAATTAAGATAGAGTACAAAATTAATTTAATGCTTTTGATATCGGTTTATTAACTTTACACAAGTCTGCTTACATTTTAATAACGTCATTTTTGCAGTTTTTACACTTTTATTTCACCTTTATCCTGTCAATTCTTTTATACATATATCATTTATTCTCATGCCACCACTGCTATATATAAGTCTTTTTTAATAAAGAAGGACATATTATTTTATCATTCCCGCTTGGCAATCTGATTCCGGGTTTTATTTCGAGTTTTCCTTTTTGTGGATTCCTTTCCCTTTGTTTACATAAGGTCATATAGTGCTGTATTTCTCCAGTCACTCCTTATAACATCACCTCTTCTTCCATTGCCTTAAAGAATTTTAAATTCTATTACGCTGTCATTACAATATAAGTGTTTGTAGTATAGTATTGTCAGATAATTAATCTCCCAGTACAGCCTTCTCTTTTTTTTTATACAACAATTCTCCATAATTTGCTAAGTATCTTGGAGCTTTTAGAAACTAAAACATATATTTAGAAGTGTAGAATCATATTTCAGTGTATAAGTTACCACTGATAGAATTTACATCCAATTCTGTAGTAAAATGTCAGTAACCGATTATCATCTGTTATTTTAAGTAATGTGTGTAAAAAAAAAACATAATCAACAAATATATAATATACATTTTCTGTAATTGTATGATTATGCTATTAATAATAATTCATTGCATCTCATAATTATGACGATCATTGATTATAGTTTAAAGCGCGTAACCTTTTTCCCTTAATTAGTGCATAGCATGACGCTTGGTTCTGGCATAGCTAATAATTGCTTTGATGACCACTGTCATGAGAATTAGCTAACACATTGCAATTGACGTAGTATAATGCTATTTGTTTATCATATCTAATAACCCACGCAAATGTTATCTTTCATTCCTCTCCTAGAGACTGAAAAACTGAATAGAGATGCAAAGGTCTCACGGTTGGCATCATGCATAAACAAAATGCTTCTGGTGCAAGTATCAGTAGGAATGCATGTCTGTTTACCATCTCTGCTTGTTTGCTATCAAATGGATTACGTTAGTAAATACTTTGATAACTTATTATAATTTCAAAATGAGGTCTCAGCTAGATCCTGATCAAATTAATAAAAATAGAACTTTTCTGAATTGGCTTGGCTCTAGTTATTCTGACTAGAGATGGGCAATCCACCTGGGTGGGTTTAAAGTCTGGTGGGTAAAAACCGGGTGTTTTGGGTTTATTGGGTTTAAACCCCATAAACACCCAAATTTTTGGGTGTTTATGATTTTGTACTTCATCATCGTCATCTCAGCCGCAAGACGTCCACTATACTGGACATAGACAATATTATTATGCAGCCTACAGAATAAAAAACTTTTAATTTGATTTTGAGTTTATTAAGAAAGAGATGAAAGTAAAATGTAAAACTACAGTCAATCACTGTCAGATTCAGAGTTATTACAAGCGATGAATTGTATAGGTTCGATAGGCTCTATTTCGTCTAAACTGTTATGTTCATTTACTTGCTCAATGAAAGCTTCTAAGGTATTTTCTTCATTAAACTGAATGTCCTCGCATTCAGCTTTATGTTTAAGATTCCAGTTATAACAAATGAATGAAATTTTTTCAGTTCTTTCAGTTGTAAGTCGATTTCTTTTGTTATTATGTATGTAGCCTTGGATACTAAAGGAACGCTCAGTGGCTGCCGAAGTACAGGGAGCTGATAGAATACGAATCGCTACTTTGTTTAACTCAGTGGAACCACAAATACCTTTCCACCATATTAGGGGCTCAATGCTATCTAATGAGCTCCATACAAATCCTCTGGCCCAAAAGTTTTCTTTAGCTTTATAACACGCCAAATCTGCCATTACATTTGACAAACTTAAGTGTTGGCTTAAATTGTAGATAAACTCCATACCCTTAAGTTCTTCCTCTTGAGTAAGTTCGACTCCTAGAGTCCTGGGGTCTAGAATATATGCTGCAAAATGTATTGGCCTCATTGCCATATTGCATCTTGAAGATACTGATGTTAGAATCTGCTGTTTGCTTTCTTCGCTCAATGTCGAAATCTCATTTAATGCAAAACGTATCTTAGCTTGTACATCTCTAAATGTAATGTATGTGCGATGCAAACGATTCTGGTCGCTCTCTAAGTAAAATATGCTTTCAGTGACTGGTTCCAAAATACTTATACATTCCCCTGTCTTCGTCCAGAAATCATCACTTAGAATTAAATCTTTAATATCTCTTGAAATTACCACATCTTCTCTAACTGTTAATATTTGCAAAGCTATCTTATTTGCTTTCAAACTTTTTAACGAAGTAACATGACTTCCCCATCTTGTAGCACAAGGCAATTTTAGTGTTTGTGTAGAATCTTCACCCTGCCTTGATTTTATCAACAAGGAACTTAATCGTTGACTCCTTTTAACAGTTTTTATTATATTTATGGCTTGCATAATAAACACAGTTACTTCTTGTATCTTTACAATATCTTGGCACAACAAGTTAAGGATATGTGCACAGCAACCGAGAGGAACAACATGTGGATATTTGAGTTTTGTTAATTCGAATGCCTTTTGTATATTTCTAGCGTTATCGCCAATAAGTACAAGAAACTTATTTGCTCCATACACTTTCATTACTTTTTCAACTTCTTGGCTAAGGTATTCACTAGTGTGAGGATTACTTTCTGTATTCAAACTTTTAACGTATGCAGGTTGAGGTTTTGATATAAGAAAGTTTATTATTCCTTCATTTCTTAAATTAGACCAGCCATCGCACTGAAGGTGTAAGTAACTACAAGCATTTAGTTCCTCATTTAACTCAAAACGCATTTCTCTATATATTTTATCTAAGTATTTTGTCGCTAAAGCTTTACGTGAAGGTATTTTAAATTTTGGTTGCAATTTTTCGAAAAATTGTATCCATAAAGGATGTTGCACCATCGATAATGGCGTCCCTGTTACAAATATAGCTCTCGCTAATTCTGTTTTTATATGATCATCGGTGTCTTGAAACTCAGCATTTATTGTAGTGTTAGCAGACGACGAGGGGCTTATAAAAGAATCATTTGTCTCTATCTCTGACAGTCCAGACATTTTGGTTTTGGACGAGCTATCTTTTATAAGTTTCATAGAGTCTTTTAATGTTTCTGGAGATTTTGGACAAGTGATAAGATGTTGAAGCATTTTGGCAGCATTACTGAATTTGTAGACCTTATTACAAAGCTTGCAAGAAACAGACTTGTTTGGTAAAGTACGGTAGTGCTCCCATATGCGTAAATCTTTAGGTCTCCCCATTGAACCTAAAAAAATGAACGATGATTAGTTGGTCTGACGAAAATTCAACAATAGAGTGCCTATTTTTTTACAATGATTATTTCTTGTTATTTACAATAAATTTATTAAAAAAATAATAAAATAAATACAAAAAACCTTTGTAAAATTACATCTCCTCGGAGGATTAAACGCAGACGCTAGTTTATTATCGTATTGTTCTGTATTTTTCTCAGCAACTTCTTTAATTCGATTAGGTACTTACGCATATTATGTTAAAAATAAATATCTAGTACACATCTTAGGCTATCCACCATTATTATCCAATGACGACTCTCAGCTAACTATGCACTATCATCCAAAATAAACGTGTATGGAAAATTTTATCCCAGTCGGTTGAGGATTGAGGATAATTGCATCAACATACGAACATACCTACATACTTTTATTTACATAACGCAAGCTAAATAAAAGCTTGTAATAATACATCTAATTTTAAGTTAAAATTGTTAAGTGATCATGATATAATTGTATCATTCAAAAATCCACTTACCTTTAATTATTTCTTGTTAAGTATAAATATTATTTCAAATCTGCTCCCTTAATATGCACTTTTTTACTGCTTTTCCTACCTAACACGTTACCAGGAAGTCACGTTACCAGAGTCAGAGTAATAGTGAACACGTTTGACAGTGATTGTCGTCGCCTCATATTCAGCGTCGACGAATAGGGGAATCCCCAGTCATAATGTATTGCAAGCGTGGCGATCTTACTTCAAATCCATAAACAAAGAGATAATTACAGAACTCGATACTAGATGGCGCTGTTTTTGTTTGAAGAAAGTTTGCGGGCTAAAATACATAGAATTTCATCAATGACTTCCACAAAGAACAACATTTCTGTTTTTTCTAAGTCCGTATCTCTTCCGTATATTTCATAAGATATAAGCTTGGGCTACATTGTTATGCAACGTGATTTTGTCGCTGTCTTGCTAGCAGGGTTGACAGATATACGATTTAAATCGTACTCATACTATTATTTGTCTATTTTTTAATGTACGATCGTAAAGATTATGATCGTAATTCGCACAAAAACATACGACTTTTTGGTTACCTGGCAACATTTTTATTATGAAACGAACATGCTCACATCATCAGTCACATGCAACAATTTATTGGGGATTTCCCCTTCACATCTGGCAGTCCTGCTTGCTAGAATATAGGTAAGTCAGCCACAGTTACTGACGATCGATATTTAAAGGGTATTGTTTTTGTGCTAAATATTTCATAAAAACGTTATTTAATACTTTGTGGATTATTAATTTAGTTGATAATCACTGGAAGTAAAATGGATGCTAATTTGAGAGATCAAGATCTTCGTATAAAACAGTTAATAAAAGAAAATCTACGTAAGTACTCTTTTTATACCTAGGTAGGTAAGGTATAATAAACACAAAAGGTACTTAGATCGCGTGTGTTCGAAGCATTTATTCTAATAAATTTAATTTAAAATTGTAGAAAGAAAAAAATGTCTGCCAAGCCGTAGCCGAAGCCGATCTCCAAATATATTTGGCGATAGTGAGACCCAGTGTCCAGATGATTTACCCAGCGTCGTCGCAACAAAGAAAAAAACGAGGATAAAGTAAAAGAAAATTTACTGAAAGAAGAAACAAACTGTTCTAAATGCTTAATTTATGGAGAAGAGGATAAAAGAAATGAGTATTTCGGACTGTTAGTGGCTCAAGAATTTAAATATATACGGCCATGTGTGCGAACGAGGTGTTATGAAGAAATTTTAAAGTATCTACGGGAAGCAAAAGGCCAACATGTTGATCAACTGCAACATGAAAACACTGAAAATTAATTACTTTCATTTTATTATATATAGATTTTTAAAATTTCCTGAAATATTATTAGTTAACGTTTTATTTAATATTGTAGAATTGATCAATACAATTTATAAAAATAATTTATTGGTATTACTTACATATTTTCAAAAAAATACGTAAAAACCTATTTTTTTGGGTGATTATGGGAGTTTATGGGTGTTTATTGGGTTTTTACCAAAGCACCGGGTTTAAACCCGGTGCTTTGCCCATCTGTAATTCTGACATATGATCCCATATATTCCTTACCTGGTTCCTTATGACATAGGCTATCGTAGCTTGAAGACCAGAGGATTGGTGGCAATTATGTGGCATTTATTATTAATTAATCTATAGTATTTATGTCCCTTATTCCTGGGTGAGAGTGACAGAAACTACGAAGAATAAGGATTGTATTATTATAATAAAAACAAATTCTGATGAATGGATATTATATTATCTGTGGCCTTACTAATACTATAAATGTGAAAGTTTGTTGATCGATCATCGATTATCACGAGTCGCGTCTGTGTTTGTTATACGAGATAGAAAATATTGAAGGTTAACGTATGCATACTTGTATCTATGCGAGTAAAGCCATGGGTTACAGCTAGAATAGAGTAGTTTAAAGTTAATGACCTGTTTGTTGTAGCCGCTGTTTAAAGTTTTAATGACAGTTGCTATGCGCGCTACCAAGGTTGTACGTTTTGTTCGTGACGCCACGGTAGACAGAAATTATATAATCATTTAATGCAAGTAAAACTAACATTGATACGCAAAGAATTCTAGATAGACTATAAAATAGGTTAAACTAACAGCTGTGGTCCATTTATTAGACTTCATTCACTTTTAACCACTAAAATAAAAATACAATAAAATTAAAAAGTAAAAGAATTTAAAATTTGTTATAATATAATAAAGACGTAAAAGTTTTTTTAAGCAGGTACACTTTTTGCATAACCGTACAAGTTCATTACAAAAAAAAAACCATAAACCACCCAGCTCTCCCCTTACATACACCTATAATTCCCTTTATTAGAGAAAAATATAGACTAAGTATATATTATCTATAAGAAATCTTAAATAAAATCATTGGTAGCTGGCCGGTATATACCGATAGCGCGGCATAAGAAACTATATAATACAAATTACTTTCAAAATGTATCAAAATTATAGGTTTTTTAAATGTTTTCTTTACCCATAATAGAACTTATTTTTCATGGTCCATTTACCTACACATTTATAAAAGGGGAAAGGGATTGTTAGTAATAGGAACTAACAGCTCCATAGTTGTTATTACCAAATTGTTACATTTTTGTAAAATTTGGTAATAACAACTATGATTTAATCCATATAATAAAATAATAAGGAATCAAAACAATTTTATTAATTTATTGACAACCTAAGCAATTACTATAAATGTTTCACTTTCTATAAAATAAATAAATATCAAGTTATCATAATTAATATAAAGTAATGGAAAAGAGATAATAAAAAATAATGCTTTTTTTTTTCAAGTTCCAATTTCAAATACTGGGAAATACGCGGCTCTACACAATGTTTTATTATCAAGTTTCCACGATATCGGTTTCTGAGAATATGGGTTACGAAGGATGGGCAAATAAATGAATGATGATAAAAGATCCGGCTGGCGTGGATCATGGATTCTAAGTGAATTTTCCAATGTGTTTTCTAATACTAGCTTATTGCCCGCTACTTTGTACGCGTGGATTTTAGAAATAGAAGAACCAAAGAAATAGATCACTACTAAATAGCATATATAGATAAAAAGTACACCAGTTTTTAATATTTTTTTTTATACAACTTAGAATAGCAAACGAGCTGACGGTCCACCTGATGGAAATTGGTAACCGTCGCCTATAGACATGAGCAGTATCATGGACATAACAGAGTATACTGTTTCCCTCAAGATACCCCCCATGCGTTGCCATTCCAGAGGACTCATATATTCCTCTGTACCCAGTAAATTCACGCCATATCCCACCCTTCAAACCGAAACACAGCCATGCAAACACAGCTGCTTCACGGTTGAAACACGAATGGGACAGAGGTACCCAAGCAATCGACTTTTACACAAAGTCTCCCTCTGGTAGACCTTCAGGAATGCAATTATGGAAATTGCATTCAGTTCAGTGCGGTAGTTTTTACGTGATGCCGGACAGACAGACAGACAAAACTACTAAAATATATTGCTGTGATTTCTATTAGTCTTTTTTTTTTAAAAATCTCCTATTTAGTTACAATTTTATTATAGTAGTAAGTTAGATAATATTTTTAATGGGCAACAGTGGAATGGTAATTCCGCCTGCGCTATCGGGATACGCTGGCCGGGTACCAGTGAGGGATGACAGGTGAAGATGAAAAGGCAGGTCAGTTAGACCATCGTGACGAACTCCACTAGAATTAGGGGGAACCGCGTGGAGGTCGACCTGACAGGATGTATTGCTAGCAATGGGTCATTAGACACTATTTAGATAATATTTGGACTACCTATACTTATTAAATAAAATACCTATAAACTTGATTTAATGAATTAACATTAACTGCTTAATCTAAATTTGCAGACTAGTGAAACATTAAATAAAATAGATGGCGCATTGTACTAAAATCTTTTATGTCCTTTATCCTTGTAACATAACACAGCAGCGCCTCTATCGGGAAAATTTTCAGAAAGTTTCCTATGTTATTCCCTCTCTTTATTACTATTATAATTTGGTCATATAGTCCCACTATTTTAATCGGTAAATAGATTATGTATTATGTACGTGATAGGTTGTTTAATTAGATAGATATTTGGTAGATATAATTACATATGACATAATAATAATTACCTTGTACAAATTAGGTCTTCAATGTATTTTATTTTATAGCCTATGAATTTAATATTATAGCGGAAACGGAAAATGCTCAATACCTATACTATACCTAATATTGTTTACTTGTTTATGTTGTTTATTCATGATGTACCGGATATTCGTATCCGTATTGATGAATATTCGAGATAGAGAAGAGCTGTGATTGTATAATGACAGTTTTTGGTATATGAAATTTTAAATACAGAGTAATACTCTTAAATTGCATTTTAATTAATCTTTAAATTTTACTACATATTTGTTACGTTTTTTTTTTGATGGGTGAAAATGGTATGGTAACCCCGCCTGCGCTAACGGGATACGCTGGCGGAGCACCAGTGAAGGGTGATATCATCTATCATGAAAACAGTGATATCATCTATCATGAATATAATGAAAACAGGCCAGTTAGCCCATCATGATGAATTCATCAGGAATTAACCATGATAGTTTCCAGGGAGAACCGCGAGGAGGTCGACCTGGTTGGGTATATTGCTAGCAACGGGATTCTCAGTCTCCATTACTAACAATCCCTTTTCCCCCTATTTGTTACGATTGTATTGCAAAAATTAAACATTTATTGTAATGACTTACTAATATAAAGATATTAATACAAAGTATCATAACTCTTGAAAAAATGGAGGCCCTTATCCATATTCCTATTTGAGGATCTAGAGACTAATTATCTGCTCTGATTCGTAACCGCAAATATATATTGTTAATGACAAGGCACATCACTAGTACATTTTTTTTAATGGATGATAATGGAATTAACCATAACCCCGCCTATATTAACGGTATATACTGACAGGGAACTAGTTAGGGATAACAGGTAAGACTGAAAAAGCAGGTCAGTTACCCATCCTGATGACTACACCTGGCGGAAAGGGATTGATAGTAATGGGGAGGTTAGTCCCCATTGCTATCAATATACCCTATCAGGTCCACTTTCACGCGGTTCCCCCCAAAACTATTGTAATTAATTTATTGTTGAATTTGTTACGATGGGCTAACTGACCTAGTTTTTCATCCTTACTCATCCTTTTTCATCCTCACGGGTCCCCCGTCAGTATATACCGATGTAATCATTTCATTATCAGCCTTCATTTATTCATAACAGATGATTATGAAGCAGGTTAGTTGGCCCATCATGACGAATTCAACAATAAAACAATCACAATGGTTTCCAGGGTGAATCATGTGGAGGTCGACCTGATAGGGTATATTTCTAGCAATGGAATTGCTAATCTCATTTACTAACAATTATTAGGTATTACTACTTATTAGGTATGTAGCGAGGTTGTGTTCAAAATTACCTAGGTACATCATATTATTTGTAATTTATACCTACCTTGCCTATCAACCCAAAAAAAATAGGTTTCTATTGCGAGTAAATGTATATTTTGTGCATTGGAGACATGTCCTAGGGGAGTCAAGTTAATATTAAACTTTAATAATCTGTAAGCAATGATTCAGCACAACATGTAAGTTGAATAATGTTTATTTATCGCTAATGGTATGGACCATTACCATATTACACTACTGTGTAGCAAGATATCATTACAATAAAAGTTGTAATGAATCATAACGTTAATGACATTAGGATTAATTTTGATTGAAATACCCAAATAGCACCATTGAATATACGCGCAGGTTGGCTGCGCAAGTAGTATTTCCTGACATCTATGGGCGAATGTTGGAACAATTTTTTAGTGTTGCAATAAATAAAACATATAGTAGAAATGGTAGGTTTTTCTATTTTTTCTTAAATTATTTTATCTTTTTAGTGTTCCGTAATAAAATGGTATCACATGTTGCAATTTTTTTCATCCATCTGTTTATCAAAGTTTTATAACTGAACAACTTCTAATGCTGTCGACTTGAAATTTGGAATACTTTTAGATATTATTAGTCTACACATATTGCAAAGGAAATTATTTTTTAATTGCTATGGAATCTAAAAGGAGTGCTCAAAATTTAAAAGCAGGTACTTTAAGTGATATAAAATATTATATGGAAACGCTTCATGGTCACATTTTAAAACCATTTTCTATTTCTATTTAACTTGTGTAGTTTTTGAGATTTTGATAGATAAATGTAAAAAAAAAAACACGACTGATTCTGAGATAACAAGAGCTGTTTCCAAACTATGAAACGAAATTATCAAAAAACCTCCAATAATATACTTAGTTATATTGTTCGTTTTTTAATCAAAAAGCTCAGAATAAGGGGTTTCGGATTATAATAAAATAATAATAATGATGTGTCTACATATTTCATATAACTGGAACGATCGAAAACTGATAGGAAAGAAAGGCTCTTGAGGGGCAAATTCATGTAAAAAATTGTAGTGTGGGGTGAGAATGACGATCATAACGGTAATAACAGGGAGTTACTGTATGCATGCAGCAAAGGATCAGGAACAATAAATAAAGGATAGTTTGTTATGATGATAACAATTTTTATGTAAGATTTTTTATGGCATAAAATAAAAACCAAATGTTATGATTTTTATGTTTAAGAAACTTTTGAAATTATTCACGAAATAATAATCATGTAAAGTTTCAGTGGTGCTAGAATATCCTTTTTACCTTCTGGTAAATAAGATAAACTTTTCTAATAAAAGTGAATTTTAATATTTAAAACTACATATCTCAAATTGCAAATAGATTACGTTTATAGTTATCATTATACTATGGAAGACAGACGGGGATCGAAATAGCACGATATCGTTTGGTTCATACCTAAGAGTTAAACAGTTTAAGTTTAAACCTTAAAAATCGACAAAAAACCGTAGAATATGCGTATATAGGATTCTTTTATAAGTACAAATAAAGAACACAAATAGGATGGAATTAGTATACTAGACATGTATATTATAGAAAAAAAAAAAAAAAAAAAAAAGTAATAATTACTTTTCTTGTTATTTTATTATTATTGTTAATATTATAAATGTCAAACTGAGTTCGTTTATTACCTCTTTGGGTCTTAACGGTTTAATTAATCGTTATGAAAATTTGTATATATGTACTATGTGGACTGGAAAAGGGCATAGGCTACTTTTTAATAATTATGCGACTGAGATTATGGGTGATATAAATCTGACGAAAAAAATATTTTTAAATTATGTTACAATGAAGTCAGTTTATATATAACAAAAAAAAATTTTATTTGTTTTTGTAACATTTCATCAATTCATACAATAAATCTTCTTACAGGATAATAGTATAATTACATATATGCATGTACATACATGCACATAGGTAATTATGATATTATCTATGATATGATATTATCTATGATATGATATTATCATACATATACACTGTTAAATCATTACACTTATCATTCACAATATTTTACCCACTCACGCATCCATGTCTTTTTACAATTATGTATCATAAAATGGTATTATGTAATTATTGATATGTTTGTATAGTATACTTCCTTAAAGAAAATGGTTAGATACTATTATTCATAATGAACTGCAGCATGATAGGGTTTACTTAACACACTTATTATTAGATACTCATTGTTATTATTATTTTTCACACACACCTTATGTAATGTGTTTTAGATTTATAATTTTTATTTATACGAGTATAATTGAAATCCGTTATCGGCTGTATTTGCAAGAAATTTAGCATGAAAGTTAATTTGTAATAATATCAACAGATGCCAAAACTGTATTTATTAGTATATGTTTGTTACGGCATTACATAAAAACTATTGTTTCTTTTTTACAACACAGGTGGCGAATGAGCATGCGGCTCACCTGATGGTAGGTGATTACCGCCGGCCATGATCACCCACAACACCAACGGCATTGCAGGTGTGCTGCCGGCCTTTTAAAAAGGAACATGCTCTTTTCTTGAAGGTTATGATGTCGTATCGGTTCGGAAATACTGCTGCTGCAAGTTGATTCCAAAGAGTGGTTGTGCGTGAAAGAAAGTGCCTTGAAAAACGTACAGTGGAAGACCGCCACACGTCCAGATGGTTGGGATGAAACTTTAGTTTATGGCAGATTGTACGGTGGTGAAAATTAGCAGCAGGTATTAATCCGAACGATTCCTCAGAGCATTTCTCATGATAAATTCGGTAAAAGATGCACAGAGATGCAACATCTTTACGTAGTTTTATTGGGTCGAGTCGGCGCTGACTATCAATAATTCGATCCGCCCGACTTTGAATGCGGTCTAACGGAAGGAACTGATACTATGACGCTCCTGACCATAAGTGAGCACAGTATTCCATATGCGGCTTGACTTGAGCTTTATACAATTTCAGGCCGTGTACCGGCATGAAATACCGTCTCACTCTATCGAGCACTCCTAACTTTTTGGAAGCTATCTTAGCTTTTTTCTCCAGATGACCGCAAAACTGGACGTTGCTATATATATATTAACGACCAGAACTCCTAGATACGACTTTTTATCAAGGGAAGTGCCCTGAAAGTTAGGAGATACGACAAACGGCATCTTTTTTGCGGTGAACACGCAGACTTGTGTCTTCTTAGGGTTCATTTAGACAGGATTTTGTTCAGCCCAGATCGAAATTTGATGGAGTGAAGTTTCGATTTCAGACACAAGTTTATTGTATTAAATTTCAAGCAGTTTTCACAGTTGTGTTTCCGGAAGTCTAACTTAAAATCTGCTATATGTTTTATTTTGATACGTCATTTGAAAGTGATTTATTTTATAGATTTACCTCCGCCAGAAGGAGTCGTTCTGAAGTCCACATGAACGAAGTAACAGGTAAAAAGCTAGTAAATAAATGAAATGGCCAATATGAATTTTGCATTTACTTTCGTGTTTTTTTAATTATTACTGTTTTATAGGATTTGTTGCAATTAAATAGTAGTTTTTAGGTATTAGTAGTAGTATTTATTTATTGTACTAGCAACATTGTCATAATTGACCGCCACCCGTGAGCAAGTCGTCGCTCGCTCGATCTCGTTCTGTCGATCGAGTCCGGTTGTGGAAGCCATTTTATTCTTGTGAATGTGACAAAATATTTTTGGAATTTTTCGTATGCAAAGTTATAGTGTCAATGTGTGCCTGTCTCGATCGAGTGTCTTTTGTAACGTGTGATTGTGCACTAAGAAATAGAATGTACGTGTTTCAAATCGGTTTGTGTTGACCTGCCCCGTTTCTTACGCGGTCACAGGCAGGCATCGATTAGTGCAACAAACAAGGCGGCCTCTAATAACGGCGAGTCGAGGCTTTGGACTAGTTTGTGGTGTGCGCCATGGGCAACAATGCTGCCACCGCCAACAAGAAGGTGGACGCCGCCGAAAGCGTCAAGGAGTTTCTCGATCAGGCCAAAGAGGATTTCGAGGAGAAATGGAAGAAGAATCCTACCAACACCGCCGGACTGAACGACTTTGAACGGATAAAAACCCTCGGCACGGGTTCGTTCGGCCGCGTTATGATAGTCCAACATAAACCGACAAAAGAATATTACGCTATGAAAATATTAGATAAGCAGAAAGTCGTAAAATTGAAGCAGGTAGAGCATACGCTAAACGAGAAACGTATTCTGCAAGCTATTAATTTTCCGTTCTTGGTGAGCCTCAAATTTCACTTCAAGGACAACTCTAATTTGTACATGGTGCTGGAATACGTTCCCGGCGGTGAGATGTTCTCGCATCTACGTAAGGTAGGTCGTTTCTCAGAACCGCATTCGCGTTTCTATGCGGCACAGATCGTGCTAGCCTTCGAATACCTTCACTACCTCGACCTCATCTATCGGGACTTGAAACCCGAGAACTTGTTGATCGACTCGCAAGGCTATCTTAAAGTGACCGATTTTGGTTTTGCGAAGCGTGTCAAGGGTCGTACGTGGACATTGTGCGGTACGCCCGAGTACCTTGCTCCAGAGATCATCCTCTCCAAAGGATACAATAAAGCGGTGGATTGGTGGGCGCTGGGCGTGCTCGTTTACGAAATGGCAGCTGGATACCCACCGTTCTTTGCAGACCAACCTATACAGATCTATGAAAAAATTGTATCTGGTAAAGTACGTTTCCCTTCACATTTTGGATCAGATTTGAAGGATCTCTTACGCAATCTACTACAGGTAGACTTGACGAAGCGTTACGGCAATCTGAAAGCGGGTGTCAACGACATCAAAGGCCACAAATGGTTTGCGAGCACCGACTGGATAGCCGTTTTCCAAAAAAGGATCGAGGCGCCCTTCATTCCGCGCTGCAAGGGTCCTGGTGATACTAGTAATTTCGATGACTATGAAGAAGAAGCGCTGCGTATCTCATCAACTGAGAAGTGTGCGAAGGAGTTTGCTGAGTTCTGAGCGAATAGTTGGTGCCTGCGAGCGGACACTACCGTGAGTAGGTGTTTTGTATTAGTGAATCTTCCGTGACAATGTGGTCGTGGAATGGTGACGAGTGCATCTGAATGCCAGCTGCTTTGGGTGAACATAGACGCTGAAGCGGCCCGAGTTGGCACTCTAGATGAATCAATTGGAGTGTAAGGAGATGTTTGTAGTACTGATTTCCGATATTTCGGTGGCGTTCATTTGCTTAGTGCCCTTTCAAGTTGATGTAACATAGAACAGATAGGCGTCGAAGTGATCCTTGTACTGATGATATTCCCCAAACCAGTTAGCCATCCTGCACCACTTAGTGTCCAATATTATATTTAATTTTCTATACATAGTTGCCTTTAGCAATGAAATGTGGTGAGCTTTATTTGAATACATATTTTATATTGTTTTTACATAATCATAAAATCTACACTTTAGTAAGTCTTTGGACAAATTATTTTGCTTTTTTACATTATATTGATCACTTATATTTCTCAATTTCAATTTATATCTAGATACATCACAGAACCATCGATTTAAAGCTATATTGATTACTAATTTTAAATGGAGTCATGAATTGAATTTCCTAAAATACTTATCTTGATGGATTGTTATATGCATAAGTTTTGATTGACATTTCTATATTGATTTTATTTATATAGTTATATTAATGTATCTGTTGATATTTTATGTAAGAATAGTAACTACATTAAAATATATTGAGGAGATTAATTTATTGTATTTGTATGTAACATGTAGTTGTGTTCATTTGTGCAATTTGACCTGTGTTTGTGATCTGATGTGAGGTTTCATTTGAATTTAAGTGTATTTTGTATTAGTTCCTTATTTTGTAGGTATAGGTGTACTGTTATTGTGAAATGGATCCATGTTTGCATTGCAGATGCAGTTCAGACTTTGTAGCAATCCTCACTGCTGTAACCAGGGGCTTATTGCTAGCATCAGTTTACCATCGATAAATACTTATATTGATAAATCTATCTATTACATCGATAAATATTCCCCAACATATTCCCAACTTGTAACAAAACAAATCTTTCATATCTGTCCAATGTCAATAAAATAACATGTTCATATTCAGCACAAAATAAAGTATGAGAGAATTTTTATATCTGTATATTCAGTTACAAGTAAGAATATGTTTGAAGTTTCCTAGTCTAACTTGTAATGCCATTATGGCAATATCTTAGTATTGAGACTGATGTTAACAATAAGCATAAATTAAATTATCTAAAACACTTTCAGTCCTATATTTGGAATGAGCGAAGATCATTAACTAACTGACAGTGTTTATTATGAAATTTGTTAGCTATTAGATGTAGGACTTTAAATCCAGGCTGTACAAATAAATATCTAGTTATTTGTAGTGCATTTAACACTGTGGAAACATCGCGAGCGTCTGTGGTAATAAACATTAGGTTGAATTGTCTATGGAAGGTTACTTAACTATGCACATTTCCTAATGCTACCCATGTGACTTTCAAATGTCTTCTAGCTGGGAACTGACAGTTGTATAGAACTGGTGAAAATTGAATGATAAAAAAAATCATATCAGTCTGTTTGTACAATCAAAAATACTCTCTCTGAATCAGTGTAATTACTTATTTATCATGTATAATCTTACAATCGTTGTACCCTGTGCATCAGCTGTGTAAATTGATCAATTGCATTATGATATTTCAAATTTTTATCTAAAAGTCTGACCATATAGATAAAAAACCTGTGTTGTGAATTAATATTTAATAAATATTATGATATCTATGGTTCTTTTATGTCTTGTTTACTATATTAAGCTTGGTTCTTATTCGAAATCTCATAACTATCTGGGATCTATTTTCTAGTTAACAATTATAATCATCAAATATATTACACTTCATCCAGGTTTTCTATTTTTCTGGTCAGGGTTTGCTGCTTTGAACCACCTGTGTTTGTTTATTCTGTAATAGAATAGATAGGTACCTAAAATTCAATGTAAAAAAAACAATGTCTTAATTGGTGAACAGTCTGGAATATTTAGGATGTACCCCAACTAAATGGTTTTTGAGAATTCTATTACGTTATAAATCACTTATATTTGTATATTTCTTTTTGGTGCCATAGTTTTTTATTCGAATAGATTTTGCTGTAAATATTTAGATATTATTAACTAGTTTTTTGTGTTATTTTATTTATACATTAATTTATACATACTTCGTATTTGTATGTTGCCACAACAATAAAATGGCGGGTTAATTAATTAATTAATTAGGTGTTATTTTGCGGAAATTCATCTCGCTGGCTACTGGATTATTATTATTTTTTATTTCCACTAATATTAGTAGGTATATGTGGATCATATTATACTTTTGGTGTGGAGAAAATTGACCTATTTTCATGAGTAGAATCCCTCGCCGTTTGTATAATTTACATTCATACTATGACGCCTATGTTGAACGATTCAGGCTCCGAAGAACTAGCAATGCCTGTTAGAGGAAAGACACGCTGGAATATCGATCGTAGCTATTTTTTGAGTGAAATGGAACGCTACATCCGTCTAAACTTACGGTATGCAATAACGACTCATCTTTGTCGGATGAAACGATGAGGATGAAGTCAGGTTGGAGCTGACCTGATTTTATCCTACGTGACGATTTCACTAGGATACAATGGTTACTAAAAGAAGACTGCAGGTCAATGTAACAGACTATATTGCTATCTATGGGACTAGTGTCCCCATTTTACTGACTTAAGTGTTATTTTGCTGTAGTCCATATAACTGGTTAGTTGATCAAAATTATTTTGTTTAATTCAGCTACCATTATTATGCGAGCGACTGCCAACACTCGAAGATTGACTACTATTATTATTAGTATCCGCATTGTTAACAATTCCTTCTCCCCTCTTTTAGGTGTAGAATGGTTGTAGACAGATCACTAGGGGAAGTCATAGTCAAAGTACATAATATATAGCTTCTGTCACAGATAAAATAATAGTTATTACGTCTCTACGGACTCGAATTACGGTTACACGTGTTGTTCGGACCACGGATTATTGTAAAATTGTATTGTCAGATATATGGTAATGTCAGAGATAGTTAGCATTTGATGGAATTTAGAAATTGCTTTTATAAGTGAAAATTCTTGTACTCTTCCACAGAATTTATTTTAATATGTAAATTTTGTGACCTTTTTATTTATGCTGGGTCTATTCGCGCCACTTTGTAAAATGCCACAAAGATCTTTCATGCGGTGATATGGATTATTATTATTAAAAATATTATGGTGTGAATAAACTTCGTTAAAGTCCATAAGCGATTTACACAAAAGTTCGAAATGATAAATAGAAAAAGTGTGAGAACTTTGTCTTGTCCAACCTGAAATAATAATTATTTATCTCTAAGTGGCCTTTCTGGTCTGGTTGGTAGTGGCCACTTCTTCCATATCAAAGGGTATTTGGATCAAGACTACTGAGGTTATTTTTCTTAGGGGTTATGGCACGAATTAAACGTTTCATAAATCCGTGTACAATTTACACCGGGGTTCGAACTGTCTTTTTTAAAAAGAAGTTTATATATTTCTTTTAATAAGTAAATGTTAATTTTATATTTATTAATATTAGCGGAATGAAACAAAATTACATCTGTAATCCTATAGGCCATTACATTTGCCCTCGGCCATGTTGGATTCCAATGCTCGGTGAAATGTGGGCGTCAATCACATTCGACTAATGTCTCTGACTACCACGTTAGGGGTTATAGTCGTGAGCATATATTTTATATACATATTCCAGTAGCCAGTGAAATGACAGTTGTTTTTGTCGCATTTATGTCAGTATTATAATTCTGTGCACCAATTCTAGTGAGACTTAGGCTCGATCTATTGGTAAGAAACAATTCTTAAAAGTAGCTAGTCACTGTTCCACCTTGTTTATTTCTTAAATGCGACATTTTAATTGTGACAAAAGTATACAAATAGACATCTTATTATTACCTTAAAATCATATGTAGAATATGAATTACTTAGATTAAGTAGTTAGTTATGTTGAAGTTGTTTCGACAAGGGAATGGGGTTAACTGATATCGGATTTAATTAAGCTAATAAGTTATTCAACAATGTTTATTACTTAATTATATCAGTCATTAATGATAGAGATCGAAATGAACTTTTTTAATCACGTTAGAACCATTGTTCACGTCGGTCGTTTTTCAATGTGAATTATCTAGAAATTGCTATCTATTTTCTACTGTCTACTTTGACAAGTGATAAGTGAACACGTCAAATTTATCTTCACGCGACGTGTATAACGGGGTAGGTAGAGCGATGCTAAGTAAATGACATTCACCACTTGGACATTGTTTATTAATTATACATAGTGCTCTGAAGCGTTTGCATCGTAACTTCGCCGTTTCTAAACCTTTCTCATGCGGTAAAATTTAGTCATTTCGAGGTAATTATTTTTTAAATTGTAAGAATAATAAGGTATTTCTGATGTGTACCCTTCGTTACTATTATCATTGTATATAATTATATAACTCTAGAGTGATTGTGTCCCTGGTAATTAGGAGATTTGATATCAGCTTCGGTATCTGCAGCCCTTCATTCCAGTAGCTTGACAACTTGCTCATCAACACAATGTGGACGTTCTAATGTGAACATTTTAAGGCCAATTTGGATATTATAAACATTAGGTGTGACAGAATGTGTATTTGCGAAAGCGTCTTTTTATATATCTGCGTATATTAATATTAAAATGTTCACGTCTAGATCTATTATATCGAGTGCCTATAGCATTGAAAGTTCAAGTGTAAAAAGTCAGTTAATTTCAGTAATTATTTGTCACCATGTATTGATCTTCCATAAAATTACGATGAATTAAAAATATCGATGTAACAGTAAATAGTTGTTTAATTTTCATTTACACGCCTTTAACAGTAAAAAGAAAAAAAGTCTTTAAATTTAGAACGAGACGTCGTCTTTACTGATTCTTGGCAGGTTTTAAATTCATGTTCATTGTCAACATCAAAGGTCAATAAAGCTTTCAAAATAGACAAATTAAGATTTTACTGTAATTATGACGAGACTGGGATATTTGAATATTGCTCTTTGATAGTGCTCTCACAACGAGACGATTCTATGTTCCTATTCTTTCTCGAGGGAATCGGGGCGAAATGAGCGCTTTAATAATTTATCTTAGTACGACTCGATAGTATATGATTTTTATTGTTACAATATAATAGGTGGGTAAAATATGTAATTTTATAGAAATTTCCTGCCCACGACGATATCAAAATTAAAAAAAAATCCATCCAATTTCATATATTTTGTTCGTCATAAGAATGACGATAAAATCATACTTTATCGTATAGTAAACTATAAAATCACCCATAAATTTGAAAATGAATTATTTGGCTTGAATAATTTAATGTAGATTTGCAAGTGAATGGATAGGATGCAGGCGGCTGTTCGCACGCTTGGTACACTGGACGATCGCACGTGGGGAGGCGGTGTTCGTTTAATACGCGGCTTCCTAATAAACCGACTGTCCTGGCAGTTTCATACGACGCCAGTGTCGACTATATATTCTACTACATATGTTGCGATTTTGTTTGTTGTCAAACTCACAATTAACATTAGTACATATAATGATAATGTTATATCTAGATATAATTTCGTGAATGACAAGCAAATGTGGAGAATTTATTGATAAGAGATAACCGATTTTATCTCTTATTTACGTTTTGTAGAATGTACGTATGTGTTATATCAGAATGCTAGTAGTTACTTATTTTTTTTTGTTTTCTAATACCCAGATAATAACAGTGATAACATAATCCTTTCAGTTTGTTACTTTTCGTTTGCTTTTTGTTACACGTTACCTGGTTATCTATTTCAGCTGTGAATATGAATATATAGTATTATAGATTTATTCTGTGCTACTGTGGAACAGCAATGTTTGTTTCTATTTTGTTGTCCAAAGCACAATTAATATTGGACTTTTTTTTTTTATAAAAATACAAATAAAAAGATAAAAAAACAATCTAGAATAAGATTAAAATAATATTTTTATCCTAAAATAGAAAATATAATGCAGTATAGTAAGATTCAGTATTTTCCAATTATTTAGTTTATTTTAGTAGGTACGACTAAATAGAACTTTAGCAAATAATATATAGCCTATATTACACGCTGATAATGTAACTTTTTATAGGTGAAAAAGTTTTTAAAATAGTATCACTAGTTTTTGAGTTTATTAATTAAAAACAAATATTCCCACTTTATAATGTTAGTATAGACAACAATAATAATAATAAAAAAAAGAATGAAAATATATAAATAGGAACAACACATGTTACCTATTTATACGAGTATATTCTGTAGTTTCTACTGCCACCAATCGAGCAGACTAGTCGACCTTGCAGTTGTTTATTCCTCGGTCAGAATCAATAAAAAAGTATTATAATTACAAAATTACACTCGTGTGATATTTCAAAAGAACTTTACCCGTAGCTGTTGCTATTATTATACACCTACATTGTGTAGGTTCTGAAATATCATTAAATATTAAAGGCTGGTAACGATTATATTTTTGGAAAACCAACAATGTTTATTGGATTTTTTAAATATTATTTGGAATGCCAAATAAAAGGTACTTTTATAAGGTACCTTTCTTTGCATTGGTATTTTACTAAAACTCATTTTGCCAATTGTGATTTATAATTGATATTTTACCGAGGGTTTGAATTAAAATCTAATATTTTTTTTAATGGGTGATAATGGAATAGTGTAACCGCCTGCGCTATCGCAGGCGGGTACACCATTACGCTGGTGGGACACCAGTGAGAGATGATAGGTGACGATAAAAGCAGCTCAATTAGCCTATCGTGACGAATTACACTAGAATTAATTACGATGGTTTCCAGGGGGAACCGCGTGGAGGTCGGCCTGATAAGGTATATCGCTAGCAATGGGTCAGTTATACCCCATTACTAACAATTCCTTTCCACTAAATACAGAAGTTATCCTTTAAACATACCTATTTGATTTTGTCTACACTAAAAGCCTGTAAATTAATGTTTAACCTTTTTTTACACCTTTGGAGAATAGATTTTAGCTTTTTAATTGGTAGTTAGGGATCCCTGATTTATATTTTGAATTTAAAATCTTCAAGAAGATTGTTTGTCCGCTCTTCTTTTGACTTGAAAAGCTCACCTATCATTAAGTACTAAGCTGAGATTGCTGAAGTTACAGAAATCAAATGTACACATAATATTATTTGTATATAAGCTTAATCAGATAGTGTTTAAAAAGGAGAAAGAAAGTACGAAATAAAAAAAAATGTTACAAAATAAACTTTGCTTGCAGACAATCAAGTGGGGTGTCTTAAAATAGCGAATTTACGTGTCTCACATTATGATTTAATTTGTATACTGTAGCTGTGTTTAATAGACACCTCTCGCTGAGTACAACACCTACCTGTTTCGTCTAGTCGGTTATAAAGTCCACTTTACACGAATCATAATGGAATTTGCATTAAATAACCCGCCGAATTTAACAGGCCTCTCACGCCGAAAGTCCAACATTAACTTACTAGTATATTTACATCGGCGGATTATACAAAGCGAATCTTATTATGGATTCGTGTACAACAAGAAACGAATTGTGTTACGATGTGCGTAAAGTGACGTTCTCGTAAATAACTCTTCTATACCTACCGACACATCGACCGGCTTACGTATTGATTGACCTTAACTTGACATTACTATTCTATTGATAAAACTAAATTGATTTTTCTTTAAATAAAGACAAATTTACGTAATGAAACCTTAATGTACGTTGTGTATTATGGTTTTTTTTTCTACGCATAAATAATGAGAAAACATCAAAAGTACTGTAAAATATCTTATTTTTATTCTCCTATTTTTTTTTCTTGTAAATACGACATCATAACTTTGATAAAAGAGCATATCCTTTTTAAAAGTCCGACAGCACACCAGCAATGCCACTGATGTTGCAGTGCTCATGGGCGGCGGTAGTCACTTACCATCAGGTGAGTTGCCATACTCGTTTGCTCCCTATGTTTTATAAAAAAATGATGTAACGGTCAGGCGAAGTTAAACTTGTTGTTATAAATATTGTTTAGATTGTAGAATCGTTACAAAAGTTAAAGTGAGTTGAAAATATGAATCAGCACAGGAGCTTATTATCGAAGTATCCATTTTAGACCCTTGACTAAAAACTATTTTTTATATTCGTATATTCGTATATACCTTTACAAAACTGCGTCAATAAATAATTACTTATATTAATTTTAATATATTTCCATATTTAGCTCGTGCATATGGGGAAACATGTTTAAATTACTGTTTGGTTAATACGTGGTTATTAAGTATATTATGACAGGTAATTTATATGGAATGAAAAATGAATTAATATTTCTAACTTTCTTGACAAAATTCCACGTTCATGGGAAAAAATGAATCTCATAAGTTACGTCAATAGATTCTGTGATTCCAGTTTCCTATTCCTTGTTCTTCATTGCTTCTGTAATACCGTTTAATCCGTTTCTTTATTCCTTGTTCCTTGCCTACTTTTTTTAGTCCTGTATTTCTTCTTGTTTCTGTTTTTCTTCCTTTGTACTTTAAAGTTTTACATGCTCAAACACAAATAAATTTTGTTGCGAATTATCGTCTACAGTCACACTTATGTGTATTGATATTGATATATATATATATACAGGACTAAAAGAGGCAAGGAACAAGGAATAAAGAAACGGATTAAACGGTATTACAGAAGCAATGAAGCAGAACAAGGAATATGAAACTGGAATTACAGAATCTATTGACGTAACTTATGAGATTCATTTTTTCCCCATGAACGTAGACTTTTGTCAAGAAAGTTAGAAATATTAATTCATTTTTCATTTTAGTTTCCTCCTCCTCGGCGCTACTACTTCATGCATTTTTTTCCAGCTAGCTCTATCCCAGGCCATATCTTTGACTTCTCTGTACGACACGGTTTAATCATACTTTTTTTTTTAATGGATCATAATGAATTGGTAATCCCGCTCGCGCTAACGATATTCGATGGTGGGGTACAAATGAGGGATGATATATGAGGACGAAAATGCAGGTCAGTTTGCCAATCGTGGTTGACCTAACAGGGTATATTGCTAGCAATGGGAGTGTTAGTCCGCGTTACTAACAATCTCTCCCGTTATCTCACACGTACTATAATCCACGGAGTAGTCTAAACAACTTGCTAAAAATTCGTGTTTTACGATTGTTTGATCTTATTTCTAATGTAAATGTTTGGAACGAGAATAACGTTACTTTTTAATGTATATAGTAATACTAATTTACGATTGTTATTCACGTATATGTTTTAATGCATTTGTCGGTATGTATAAATGCAATAGGTGTTTTCGATCTACGTGCGGTGTGATTCGCCCACCGCGGTATTTTGTATTGGGGCAAAGTCCAAACTATACTTCCGAAAGAGATTGTAGCCAAATTAGTGTTTCACACTGGTGCGAATAACAATAGTGGATTTAGGAAGGGATTGTTAGTAATGGAAACTAGTAATCTCATTGCTAGCAATACATTCTGCCTGGTCAACCATCATGCGGTTTATTGCGGAAATTATTAATATTTGCTAAAACCTGTCGACCTGGCAGCGTATACTGATATCATAGGCGGGGTTACTATTTCATTGGCATCCATTAAAAATTTTTAAAATTAAAAAATCCGAGTTTCATAATTTACACTATGGCCCGAAAAGCCACATCGAATGTTTTTTTATTGGCACGTTTCGTGCATTAACCGATTACTGTCAGGCGGGCCGTATGCTTGTTAGTTATTGTAGCCGCACGATAAAACTTCATTACTATTAGCCACTACA